CCCCCCCCCCCCGCATCGAAATTAAACCTTTTTCACGATCTCTCTGCCACGTAATCCTCTGACCAGGTAATTTCCGAAACTACCCCTATCCAATGAATCAATGAACCAAAGACAAAGGGCAAAACGGGTAGCAGAAGTCTATAAAGACTCCGTGATCACCTCCTGGCAGTCGTCAAGAGGGGAAGAGAGAGAGAAAGCTGCATGACTCCAACAATGGCGAAATTGGTATCAGAGACTAACCCTCGTCCGAACATCACGTGCGAGGCAACGGGTTTTCCCAGGAAGGTGCTCGGCACGTACGAAATCAGGGTTTCGGTCGACGAAAGGAAGATCGGTTTCAAAATACCGAAGATATCGGTGAAGAAAACAAGCAGGACTCAGAAACAGGACAACGAGGAAGGAGAAACGATGAACATGGAGATGGCGAGGGAGGGCAAGGAGAAGGAGAATCTTTTCCTGGTCAAGGTGAGTTCGGTGATTTCTGGTGTCTCGAGGAAGATGACGACGACAAGTGCCAAAGCTAATCAAAAAATGGATTCCCTGCGAGAGATCAAAAGGGTATCATCGAGCATCATGACCATAGCCAGGAGGTTGAAGGCGAGAGCCATAGAAAAGGTGAGGGAGCACGCCATTGGAGAAGAGGAGGAGCTCTGCAAGAAGAGGATACTGATGGGAGAGAAATGCAGACCGCTGAATCGGTCGGGGACGCTGCTGTATGATGGGGACGGCATTCTGCTGCCGGAGCCATGACAGGACACATGGTAACGTATACTTCTCTGTCTCTTTCTGTCATGGTTCGTGGTTAGAATCAGACAGACATATGGATCTTAGATTTTTAAACCTCAGTCGTAACACAATGGTGCATATTGTATTTATCTATTTCGAAAATTCTTACGATGGAGTCTCAAAAGAGTTTTTAATTATGGTGGGTTTTAAAATATAAAATTATATAAGTAAGATATTTACAAATATTAAAAGGATATTTATAAAAAAACTAATAGTATTCGAATAGATGATATGCGAGATTTTCATTATATATTTCTGTGTTTTATTTTATAGATTGATTGAATATATATAAATTTATTCAAGGGTTTCTAAATAAATTTGGGATTAAAACGTTGTTGTTGTTTCAATGTGATATCAGAATTATTTTTCTCTATTTTTTTTAGTGAAAAACTTTTTTTGATAACCACGTATTTTAGACCAAGATTCAAACTAATATCGGGGTCGAAAGTACTAATATCGAGATCGAAAGTAAACCATTTGATTTGGATTTGGATTATATGTTCTATCTCCAAATTTGACATTCGAACTCAAGTTAGAAGAGACGTTTTAAGTTCCGTTAAGACTTATTTTTATTAGGCTGAGTAGAAAATGACTTCAAAATGAATTTTAATTAAGCTTTGTTACAAAACTAAACTCCGAAAATGAGAAGGAAATTCAGTTTCCTTTGGAATTCTAACACTACGAAGGCTTTTTTTTTTTACATTAAGATATCGTTGCCGTACTAGAGCGGTGGGGGAAAAAACATCTACAAAGTGAAGTGAGATTTCATTACAAAGTGCAAGAAGACTAACTTTCTCTCTCATCTTCTTAACTGTTCGGAGGCATGGTTGCTTGTGGTGGATGACGAAGTCGTCATGCTATTCATCGTCTCCGACTGTGGAGCCATCCCCCATTTGCCCTCCGGTTCGGTCGGTTCTATCACCTTAACCGACCCATCGGTTAAACCGATCGCAAACTGGTTCGGCTCTTGCGGATGAGCCGCCACGACCAGAGGGGCCAAGCCCTGGCTCCTGATGACACAGCGCAATACAACATAGAGTAAAGTCTTTTTCAGCTTAAACGCGATCACGAGGTTTAACGACACGAAACCCGTAAAATTTAGCACGATTGAACAACATGGTCGGCGGATTTTATAGTCCCGTCAGAAAGAAACTAGAGAATGAGATGAGATTGCGGTCTTTTTCGCTCAAAGTTCCGACCTTTTTCCGACCCCACTATCAACCTACGACAGGATCGATACATGAGATATACAAAGTGAATTTGAAGTTTACCCTCGAGGCAAGTAGGCGGTGGGAGCGATTCGGCATCTTAACCGAAGACTGTCGGCGTCAAAAATTCCGATGTTGCCATCACGGAAGGCGGCATATATCAACTGGCTGTTGCACGAATAAACTGCCGAAGATATCGGACCGGACAACCCATCTTGCGGAATCCACTGTGACATGGAAGACATGAACATAAGAATGATTTAAGCGTGTCGAAGAATATGAGCAATAACATGGACTGTGTATCGGTAAGTGATCGAAATCAAGTTTCGTCGAGGAATTCCTCGGGTATCATGTGTGGGAAGAACCTAGTCTCGGAGTTTATAAATTACGGAAATTTTCACTATAATCAAATCATGATTCACTGCAATTATCGGTCCTCATACCTGTCGGATGCATTCCATCTTGGAAGCATCGTATATCGCCAGTTGCGTCTCATGGACTGCCAAGATACGAATCTGATTGGCATGGAACTGAACCCGTGTTTCTCCGGTGGGCGCTTTTCCTGCCGGCATCTGGATCGTAACCGATTTCTTCTTCTCCCATGTGTCAATGCTCCAAAAACATATCTAAATAGACAACAGAAACAATAAGCATCAGATGCATCAACCATTAGTCAGACAATCGAACAGACGAAAATATAGTTTGAATCCGGCTTTTTGTTCAACTATTCGACGTCCCGACTATTTCTTTCGCGAAAACGCAAAAATCGGGGACGACAACTGTAACGTCATTCTTTCTACGGGGATGAAACCGAAGTCGTCAATGCAACACGAAATACCTGAGCATCGGCACCAGATGAAACCAAGATGCTCAGAGTTGTAGAAAAGGCTAAGCCTGTTATATGTTTCTGGTGACCCTTCAGTTTAGATTTCACCTGGTGAAACAACACAGTACAAGTGTAAGTGATGAACCAGATGACACCGCACAAGAAAATTTAACAGTTAAAATGGTAAAAGCAAAAAAGGGGGAAGATTTGCAGAAAAAAACCCGTGAATCTACGAGAAAATCTGCCTTAAAACATCTTCGCGGGTCCTTTTTTTTTTTGTTTCTAAAAGAACTAACTAACACCAGTTCACGGAATTCCTCCCGTTAAACTTTAGAAAATGTATGTTGGAAATGGAAACCGACCGACACCCTTTAAACTTAAGGAGTTCATTGAAGTTGGCTTGAATCCTTTCCCGGTCTTCCACCTGATATTTACATATGCATGATGGTATTTACCTCGTCTACTCGGACATTGTAGATGTGAATGGTGGAATCCTCCATACCGATGGCGATGATGTTGTTATCCTGAGGATGGAAGGCCAAGAATGTCGATGCTGGTGGAGGTGCCATGAAAGTTGTCATCACCTGAAAGGTAGGTTTCTTTATAAATGCCGAGTTTTTGGCTTCTGGTCACGGCTATAACTGAAAGGCTAAATGGGAAAACGAAGTTTTTGCTTTCGGAAAACATCACATCAAATGATGGTGAATTTTGAGTGATATATGTACCTTGAAAGTCATCATGTTGAACAATGAAACCTTTCCACCCGCAGCTGACATGACGTACGAGTCGTTTTTCGAGAGAGCTATGCAGGGAACCGCCTCCTCGAGGTTCACACCCGAGACGTCATTGGTCATGAGAAGACCACTGCTCGGCTGCCAATGCTGAGGGACCGCACTGGCAGTGGCCTGCATAGTTCACACACCGTAAATTACATTGCAAAAGCTTGCCCTTTCAGTCGGTCATTGAGCTCAAGCCGAGATTCCGTCACCAGAATTCTCATATGATTACCTTGCCACTAGGGTTTTGTTCATTGCGAGCCCATTTCCATAGCCTCTGTATACCATTTGAACCGAGAGATAAGATCCCGACTCCAGAATTCGTGTAAAGAAGCCGAATCACCTGCAATTGCCATGTAACATGAAAATTTAAGACACGATTTTTTCAATTTAGGCAGAAAACTTTTGGAGAAAAGTTAATTGAGGCAAACCTTTGTGGACGAGTCTGTGCTGTCGGCCAAAGTGACCTGGCGACATTGAACAGAGTCGAGGATTTCAGACAATTGCCAAGGTTTGGTCTTGTCCGTTGCGTCATCAACTCTTGACTTGGAGGGATCAACTCCGTTCTTGATCAAAGACCAGAACAAAATTAGTAAATATCGATACGTCGATAGAAATCCTAAAACAGAGTAAAAGATTCAACCAAAAGGCAAAAATGGAAATGAAAGTGTGACAGGTGATGTACCGGCATTTGTAATATGGCGGGTGAGCCCCGTTCAACTTGACAACTGACAGCAGTGGCAGACACAACAGGAGCACCAGAAACCTAACACAACAACCAAAGTGGGTTAACCATCATGACAACAGGGCATGTTTTTCACAAGATAAACATATATATAAGTTACGAAATGTTACAGCTTTCATAGAAGAAGAATCAACAGGGGTTCGTAATGCTTCAAAAGCTGGACTTTCCATGGCTCTCAGAGATCTGAACCCAGCTGTGTTTGCTAATATCTTAAATCCATTATCAGCTGTAGTAACAGCAAGAAGATTTCCTTCCTTGTTGAACCTCAAACGAGGAAGGGTCTGAAAGTGATCGATACGAGTAAGCATCAATACCCAAAAATAATAAAAAAATTAAGAACACTTGATGACAAGCCAAGAGAGAAAAAAACACATCGGTTTGACTAACCGGAAGTCCACCCTCGGCATCAATGCTGGTCAGAGGATTGGTGTTGTCCATATCCCAGAACTTAATCTGCCCATCTTCCCCGACGGCCAGAAAATGATTCTTTGTGGTGTCGAACTGAACCACGCCGGCAGATTTTTTCCTAAACCCGAGATAGGTCCTCTTGATTGCTCCTTCACTCTCATTCCACTCAACTAAGAAAGAATCTCCTTCTTTACTCGTCCCACAGGAGAACAATCTAAAGAAAAAACAGGACAACTTACTAGAAACTCAAGGAGAGAAACTGAAGTGGTACAATGGAAAAGAAAAAACTGTTTAAGCAGGTAGATTCCTCGTCATGTTCTACATTGTAAAGCGTCAAAGAACAAAGAAAAGGCATCTCAAGGGTAACTTCAGGGGAAAAAAAACTAGTTCAATCTCAAGGACATGTTTGAAGTTTTTCTGGGACCAAGACAGTGAAATGAAGACAACTTTCATAAGTGGTTCGAAAAGACAGGAATGGAAAGAATTGATAGTTCAAAGATCTTACCTGCTCCCATCAGCACTGTAAAGCATAGTTGTACACCAGCGACCAGGAGCATCATAGTCAACTCTGGAACCCATATTATCATAAAGCCATGCCTTTATCTTTCCATCTATAGCTGTTGAAAATATGAACTGAAATCCAAAAATGGACATAAATCCCAGTGATCTTCAAATGGCTTGAAGAGAAAAATAACAGATGATAAAATATAATTCCCCGTCCATCTCGATTCTCTGTCACACACCTGAATGTTCTCTTTGTGATGAGGACAGACGGAATAGACAGGAGCCTCGTGTCCTTCAAATGTAAAATGCTTCCGGCCAGAAAGATCCCACACCTGCTCCACATTGGTTCTTTTAGACAGCCAAATGTTGAAAATTTTATCAAGAACACACCCTGTGATTCTTGGCTCACCTTGATTAGCTTATCATCTCCGCAAGTAACTACGCATAGTTGTTTATTCGGATGAGCAAACGCCAAGTCGTTCACGGAACCCACATGGGCATCAATCTGCGTGAAAAAAAAACGGTGTAATATTCCGTTGGCAATCACAGCATAATGATTTTGATGATAAAAGGGTCAAAAATATATATGCTCACCTCAATATGCGGGCGAAGATCATTAGGCCCGGTGTAAGCGTACAGGTGAATAAGATGTTTTGTAAATGCAACCCCTGCTCAAGAGGAGGATGGAATTAGGGATAAAACATGAAAACCGACAACCAATGCGTGGAGGGACACTGACCAATGAAACTGCCATCTGGACTCCATGCAACACGAGTGACAGATATCGGTTTCTTGTTAACCATAGAAGCCTGAAGAAAGCTCATAAACATGAGATTCTTGAACAAGCACTAGCTTATTCATACATCATTCTTGCATCAGTTATTAACATCCGATTAGTCGAACAGCAAGAGTTTTAAAGCAAACACTAACACAAGTTACACAACCCCATTACGAGTTGTGAAGACAAACCTGAAACGGTGATGAACAATTAGGCATATCCCAGACCTTGAATGGCTTTGAAGCCAGCCTTTCTCGAACAGCGAGTTCCCATAGAATGATTTCGCCCGCAGCAGAACCAACTGATCAAACACAATGTTCATTTCAGAAAATCAAAGAACAAAGAACGGGATATGTGATAAGAATATCACTGCCTAACGATTTCATAAGTGGTTTCAAGTCCCATACCAAGAAGTAATGTTTGCTGTGAGGGGTGGAAATCCATGCTAGTGGCAGCGGACTCTAAGTGCAACGACAAAGCCACCTTTGTTGGCAAGTCTTCCACCGACCATGGAGCTTGCTGTCTAAATACAGGATATGTCACCTGAAAACCGGAAAAAAGTTTTACAATCTGTGAAAAATGCAAGAGCTATGTGAACAGAGCTTTTTCGAGAAAGGAGATATTGCATTACCTCCTCTACAGATGGAGCAGGCCGGAGTCGTTTCATTAGTTCATGGTCAGGATTCTGATAATCTACTATACCTGGAGTTGCTGGTGGCGTCCTGGGTCGCTTCAAGACTGAAACTTTTTTTTAGAAAAAGAAAAGTAGTTTGCTATTAACATAACATTAAGCGAACAGGTAATAACAATTAGTCTAAAAACGAAAATTTAGAAAATTGATGCAGTTCTAACTTTGATTCTGAGGAATGGGCATTGCTGAAGGTGTGACAACAGCAGCTTGGAGAGCAGCAGGACCAGAGACATTAGCCATCCAACCGGCTAGAGCACCAGCATTAGCAACCGCAGCACCAGGGGGAAACGGCTACATAAAAAACGGCGGCAGAACATAAATCACTCGAAAATTTGACGATTTATAAAATGAAAAACTATGAATACAGCAGTAAGAGATAATGTCTTACCCCATGAGCTCCTAGCGATGGATAAGCAGTCGGCTTCGCCATGGCAGCAACAGGAAGATTGACGGGTGAAGCTGCAAGAGGACCGTTCGGAGGAGAGCATGTATGGTCGATGAATAAAGTCTTAATGTCTGGATTTGGCCTAGGGTTCTTGCACAACTGATGCTGCCAGTTCAGACTGCAATAAAACGTGTGTACCATGAATCACCCGACAAGCAAAACTCCAAAGAACAACACACCTTTGGTAATAAGACGGGAATAACACACACCTTTGGTTGATCAGAGTCCGCAGTCTCGAAGATCTCAAAGAAGGAAACACCAATTTATCACGAAAAAGAGGATTTGCTTCAATAAGTTTTTTCAGTTCCATCAGCATTATACCCCGAGCAGTTTTAGTGTCTCCATACTTGGAAAGCTGATCATTTTCCCTATATTCAATAGAGACCCGAGAAGATATTATTAAGACATGAACACTTCCCGATCATTACAAAGAAATCCGTAACAACAACAACCGATTGAGACGACAAAATCACGAAGGATCTTCACCGTAATCTTGACTTCCAAACAATGAAACCCACTCGTCTTTTAAGTCCCAAACTCATGTTGCCACAAATGAACTGTTCACGAGGGACTTTGAGTCTCGTGTCTCGTACCTGAAGTTGTTCAAAGTCAGAAGCAGGGTGATTTCTTTGTAAAGTTCCTCGTTGAAAGTCAAGAAAACTTTCAAGTCCTGCACCAATATCTCGACTGCCTTTCCCTTGTCTTGCCTACATAAAATCCGAGAACGATTGAGCGGATCTAAACTAGGAAAGAGATGTACAAGAGGACAAAACATGGATGTCGATTAATTATACCGATCAAGAGCCTCAAGATACTTCTGCTTCCTAATCTCGAAGAATATCTTCATCGAGTATCTGTTATCATCGACTTTGGTAAACCCCGACAAGTACTTCTCAACTTCATCCCATTCTCCGGCCAGAACTATCTCCTCAAAGTACTTCATGTTAAAGAAGAACCCTGATTCTTTCTCAAGCCTAACACAGGGAATCAATTCACAATCAGGAAAAAAAAAAACAGAAAACCTAACAAAAGTCAGATCCCTCCAAAACCACATCTAGTCTTGCAGAGGATTTGAGGTTCGAGCAACATGCGAACATCTAACAAAATTTTGAACAGCTGGTGTCAGAGTGTTCATTCTTTTTCCCATTTCTGCTCAATTTCAGATACATATACGCTTTAAAAACCCCAAGCCCCACATGAAGATGTAATTATGGCAACCAAGTCCCCTTTCCAGATGAACCGATAGCTAGAAACAATCTCTCACGCAGTACAAAACTGAGACGGAAATTAAATTTGACTCCAGCTTTTAAGAAATGCCCTTCAGAACGTATCAACTTGCAGAGATGTCCATGTACACGGGTATACATATCTATCTACATACATACATATATGCATATATAGAGATATACATAGACTTGCCTATGAACAGACTCCTTGAATTTCTCTTCCTCGAGAAATTGCAGTATGAGAAACACCAATTCTCGGCTCAACGAAGACATTATCCCCAAGGCTCGGACCGCAAATCCAGACCTCAATCTAGAACACACGCGAGATTAGCCGTAAAATTGCACGATCAAGTTCGAGCCCCAGCTCGATTCGAGCTCGACAACTCGGACAAGATTAATTTCAGTCCAAATCGCAGCTCGGAATTCGAGGATTTCTAGGGTTTTGAAGGGTTGCTTTTAGAGGTGGATAGAGACGATAAAGGATGAGAGAGAGAGAGAGAGAGAGAGAGAGAGAGAGAGAGAGATAGAGAGAGAGAGAGAGACGTCCTTGCTTTCTTCGACGCGTTCTGCAGAAGGAGGGGCCTTTCAGGATGTACCGACTTATCAGATATAAGCTGAGCAGACATCGATGATAGGTACGTTGGCTTATGAGATTGTCGAATTAGCTTATCAAGAAATGGGTTGATAAGCGAGCGAGACATGGAAACAACGGATTTCAAAACAAACTCAAATTGAGTGAATATTCGGACACACGTCCAAACTGGTCCGCCACCCACACTTTCTCTCTCTTGTCCTGTCGCTTTCAACTCTCGCTACGTTCATTTACCATTTCCGTTTTCTCGCGATATATAATAAAATCTCCTTTTCGTTTTCTTCTCTCTTTTCACCTCCCGAGAATTTGTGCATGACAAAAATAAAAGATCAGCAATTACACGCATAATTTGTCGGTCACCGCCATTCGCCACTTGTAGACTAATCTGCTGTGTATAACTCCACACTATTTACGGTGCTCTCGCATGGATCTTATCCTATATTTAAAAGAGTCAAGGCACGTTGGATATAGTTCTAAAATCTAACGGTTGAGAATCTCATTTCCAATGAAAATAACGTGTGAGATGTATCCTTGGAAAATGACGTGAACGTTGCGTGAATGTATCGTGAAAATATCGTCATCTCAAAGGCCTTTGGGGTCCACCATATATATATATAAAGAGGCTTTTTTATTCTGGGAGTTTTAGTTCTAGACCACATATGCGTCACTGACCGAATATATTCGGCACGCGCCAAACCAGCGCGTGTGGGTCACATAATAGATTAATATAAAAAGGAATTTTTAATGTGATAAAAAAATAAAAAATATTTAATTTTATAATTATTGTTAATTTTTTCTATAAAGACGTATGTTTTTTATATTTTAGAAAAACTATTGTTCTTTTTAATATAATTGATGTATTTTTTTATGAAATTTTCTATTATTATTATTATTATTATTGAGCTGATTAAATTTATACAAATCCAAAGTTTGAAAATTTGGGTTTAATAATTCGTTTATAAAAAAAATAAAGAAATTTTGTCGTTCTTTTAGAAATGAAATGTTGATAATTTTGGTGATAGGATGTTTTCAATTAATAAAACACAAACTCCACGATTTGAGCAAGACAGTGATTTGATTGTGTCATAATGAATTGCTTAATTTGATTTTAGTTAAAGACGGGAATATAATTACGATAACGACATTGGAATGTTTTTAAATAAAAAAAGGGAAGGAAAACGACATAATTATATGAATATTTTTTAGACTTTTCCAAAAGGTGGCTGGGTTCCATGTTCCACATCGTGGACACGTGCACGTACAAAGCACATCCGTGATCCTTTTTGTAATCAAAATTAACAACCTTGATAACAAATTAAATCCGTATACTAGAAAACACAAAAACAAAAATTGGTTATTGTAAAACAGGATATTTTGAATATAAATTTTTCTTATAATGAATATAGAGAAATTGAATATCGAGTTTGTAAAGAATTTTGACAGTTTAAAATTTTCTTATTCATAATTACAATTCGGTTAAAATTTTAAAAAAATCATGAAATACATAAAATTGCAAAAACTTTAAACGACAAATTTTTTTCCTTCCATATAATACTACCAACTATCCGAACCTAATAAATAATATATTATATTTCTATTTAAACCATATGTACTGCAAAACTAAGCTATTAATATTTAGATGGAAGAAAACATCTTCATAATTTATATATTTATTTGAAAGTCTTAAATAATAGATTTATTTCTATTAAAAAAAATCGTTTGCTTATATTTGTTTATATTGATACTCAAAAACTTCGATATAATTTTTTAGATAGGAAAACTACTGAAACTCACCATGGGCTTTTAATGGGCCGGAGGCCCAAACATTTGCTGCTCAAATAGAGCGACGCCGTTTTATATTAAATCGCGATTCCATAAAAAAAACGTGGCCCAGTTTGAAGTATCCTAGCGTAATTGGGCCGAAAAGTGAGGGGCTAGGCTAGGTAAGGAAACGGAGGGAATGGTGGGAGCTGGTGGACCCCTATCCGGTGCACCGTCCCGCATGTGATTCTGGTCGCCACGTGTCGATTAGTGAATGGTGGATCTAGTGAACCCTGATGACCGAACTCATCTTGGGGATCTCACTCGGATGTGGGTTGTTGTCGTTCCGTGTGGACGCTCGCTCACACCGAAAGTCTACAGTGTGCTCCTCCGTTTCTCTCTCGCCACGTGTCCCGTCCGTTTTCAATGCCACGTAGGATAATCCACCGAGAAATGATATACCTTGAAATGGCATTGATTGTGATGTATATTTCCGAGATTATGTAAAAATAATCAAAAATAAAAATAATTTATATTTCTTAAAAAAAAAAAAGAGGGAATAGAAACATTGAAATTAGTAAGTATGATACTGTTGCCGACATTAGAGATCCACCCATGATTTTCTTGTATTGGTCCGTGTGTTGGGTCCCACATACACAATTAGGGGTGAATGTTTCGGGATTCGGTTCGGGAATGGTTCGGTTCGGTATTATAAAATTTATACCAAATTAGTACCGTGTATTATTCGGTTCGGTTCTGTTCAGTATTATGACGGTTCGGAACGGTACAGTACTAATAAATAAGTACCAAATAATAGGGGTGGGCGTTTCGGGATTCGGTTCGGTTCGGAAACGGTTTATTCGGTATTATAAAATTTGTACCAAATTAGTACCGTATATTATTCGGTTCGGTATTATGACGGTTCGGGACGGTACGGTACTAATAAATAAGTACCAAATAAGAACTGAAATAAAAACGGTTCGGAATGGTTCAAAACGGTTCATGACATATTTATAAGTCATATAATATAAAAGTAAAGAGATTCAACATAATAATTTTATACAACAAAACAAAAGTTTCGAACTTGTAAACTTGGAAAAAATTCAACATTAATCTCAATGCATTATGCAAACAAACTCTTAACATTAGTAAATATCATAATTAACTATTAATATTAAATATTTTTTAATTAAAAAATAAAAATACCAAAATACCGTTCGGTATTTCTCAAGTCGAACCGAACCGTTTCCGAACCGTTCGATATTTTAAATTTCGTACCGTTCGGTATTTTTATATAATACCGAACCGAACCGAAACCGAATTAATCGGTTCGGTACGGTTCGGGACCAGATTCCCGAACCGAATTGCCCACCCCTACCAAATAAGAACCGAAATAAAAACGGTTCGGAATGGTTCAAAACGGTTCATGACATATTTATAAGTCATATAATATAAAAGTAAAGAGATTCAACATAATAATTTTATACAACAAAATAAAAATTTTGAATTTATAAACTTGAAAAAAAATTCAACATTAATCTCAATGCATTACACAAACAAACTCTTAATATTAGTAAATATAAAAATTAACTATTAATATTAAATATTTTTTAATTAAAAAACAAAAATACCAAAATACCATTTGGTATTTTCCGAATTGAACCGAACCGTTCGGTATTTCAAATTTCGTACCATTCGGTATTTTTATATTATACCGAACCGAACCGAATAAATCGGTTCGTAATTCGGTTCGTTTCGGGACCAGATTTCCGAACCGAATTGCCGCCCACCCCTATACACAATTGCATGGGTCCGAGTACGACCAAGTCGTACACACACCGACCGAATCCAACTCACTTTCCTTAATTTCTCTATATACATTTCATGGAACAGTGACTGTTTTTTTTAATAAACAATCAAAGATAATCTCGGAAATCTTGGATATTTAATTTGATTATTCCGATATTTAAATATCGGGTATTCGAGAAATTCTATTTCAAATTCGAATTTTGCGAAAAACAACATTACCTATAAATCAATTTTTTAAAACAGAAAAATATTACAAATATAATTTAACTTTTCTCAATATTACAAAAAAATTGTTCAGAATTTTGAATTTCCAAACAAAAAACATGTTGTTGAGTTTAGATTCGATATCCAACGTATGCCAATATTTTTGTTGAGAATACATATTTTGAATAATTACAAGTATACGGATATTATCGGGCTATACGAATTTACGTATATGAAATCGAATTTAAATAATTATGATATATAAAATCGAGTTCTAAAATATTTAAATTCGGATTTTAAGTAATTCTAAAGTCCCTATATAGTATAGGCTTTTTATGACACGGATGACTTCAACACGGTCTCATTAAATGTTAGCTGTACCGATTTTGAAATCTTGATCCCCTTCATGGATACGGACCATAAGGATCTGTAATTAATGCTTGGATTCGACCGTCTACAATATATGATTACACGGCCATTTACCAAATTTCCAATTTTATTTATTTTTTAATAAATTTTTTAAACATGTTTTAGAATTTCCCAACATTTTTAAAAACCTTTTTGGCAAATAGACAACATGGATGAGCTTCATATATTTTTCTTCATTTGTTATCTAATGTTTGGATTTTTATTAGATATTAAAAAGTAGTTAAAGAGAAATTAACCAAATTCAATCAGTCAAAAAAGGAGCGACTGGATGAAAAAAAAATAACTAGATATAATGCTTTTAAATTAAAACAAATGAATTTCAATAAAATATACAAATTATCGAAGAGATAAAAAAACAAAATCAAACCTAAACTCTACAAGTATAGTTTTTTTTTTCACGACAACAGATATTCAAACCGAATTCCAAGTTAAATATATGAAACAATTATAGTTTAATCAATAAATTAAAAGGGTTTATCAATTTAGTTTCCTCTAATGCATTTGGGTTTGGGATACCCCGAAACTTATGTGTAGTGAATAGAATTCATGTCCACTCACAAAAAAAAAAATACAAAAATACATTACATACATATATTAATATACATTTGAAAATTAAAAAAAGAGCCGGGATTTTCTATACCGTATTGTTCTACCTCCAACTTGCATTATATTTGACTTGATAATTACTTTTTTAAGATAATTAGTATTATATTATATCACTCATAGTTCAATTATATAAAATATGAAACTATTTTAGAAATAATGTCACATGCTATTTAAAAATAAATTTGAAGTATTGGTTTTAGTTTATCGTTTCTCAAATTATTGTAATTAAAAAAATCGTGGACCGTTTTAGGATCCTTATGTTAAACGTGTACGGTTACGATCTGCTTACTTTATTATTATTATTTTTTGTTTAAATATTTCTATATTATTTTAACGTGTTTATTTATTATTATTTTGTGCATGAGAACAACATATCTTTTTGGATGTCGAGAACATGCAGAGATGTATCGGCTTACTACTCGAATTGAGAAATTGTTCATTCATTACCAAAAGAGTAAATGATACATAAAATCAAAGTTCTAATTTTCAGATTATAAATTAGGGTTTTATTTATGTGATTGTTAGCAAAGTGGAAGAATAAATTTCTATATATTTGAAATGCAGGATTAATTTATAATTACACAACATTTCATTACGTTCCGAATTTAAATTTGTATAAAAAAAATTTAACATTATGTACAATATATACTTTAAAAAAAAAGAAATACAATATATACAAAAATATACGTTAGAAATTATGCGATAAGCATATTTTTAATCTTTTGTATATACTTCCACCCGAATATATAAACATGCTATATATATACACTAATTTATAAATTATATGTGATTTTTTGTTGTTAGATGTTACGAATGGGCAACTAAGTTATAAATGATACATGATTTCCTATATTTTACATAGACGTATATGATATATACGTTCGTATATAAATATATATATATATATATATACATACAAATGGTTGTTACTTGTTGACACAAGGGCATATACTTGCCAGAAAAAATCATGTGACGCAATCTCTAATAAAAATAACAATGACAATTGACAACATCACGTGTAATGACTGTAGTGATAAAGCCTCAAATTTTACAAACACAAAATTATTAGAAAATATGGATTTCATTTATAATAGGGGAATTATTAAAATTCTAACATATATTTTAACTTTTTTTTAAACTTAAATTATATTTGATATCTTTCTTTTTCGTTAGTTATTCCTACGAATGTAACATATTTATCTATATTAAAAGATGATAAAAACTATTTCATCGCTTAAAATGAAAAATAAAAAATCAAACTATAAAATCATCTTAAGACCCAAATTTTAAACATTCAGCCAATAAAAATTTAAAAAAAAATTAATTTCATAAATTTCAGATAATAAAAATTGCAAACTCTTTTTAAAAAGAAAATCCTCAAAAAATATTTGTTGCCAATTTTTAAATAAAACTCCAATTTCAGTTTTTCGTCGAAAATAAGTATAAACTTTATATTCGTTGTCATTTTTAAACCTTAATAATGATAGACGTACTAATATCCTATATAACAAGTCAATATTTTGATCATATTTGATATATCATCATCCATAATACCATATATCCAGATATATACGATGAATTTAAAAATGATAATTATTATAAAATTTATATTTATTTATAACTCAAGAATGAATTTGATATTTTATTTCATAAAAAAATTTAGATTTTATTTTATAAAATTAACAATTTCATATATATTTTTGGAATTTTTCTTTTTTCTTTTTATAATTTTACCAAAGTTCATTTTCACATTAATAATATTCTTATCAACTACGTGTAATAATAATAATAATAATAATAATAATAATAATAATAATAATAATAATAATAAATAAATAAATAAATAAATAAATAATATTATTATATCATTATCTTCTGGAATTTTCAAATGCTTTGTCGTTTTTGTATTGTGTCGTGAATTTGGACCTTATGATGATGACTGGATTCTCCAACTGTCAATTTTAATTTTCTTTTTTATTTTCCCATACTTTTTATTTCGTCAATTAAATTTATCGTTATTATTATTTGGTAGAACTGTTGACATTTGATTTCTGGGAATATGCTCAAATAATAAATCTTTTATTTAACTTATGGTATTAATTATGAAATAATATAAATAAGACCACCAGCTTTGACATTTTACACCATAGGAAAAAAATAAATCCATATCTATCTCGAAATTGTTATTTACATTTATTTGTTGGAAATGTAAATATTTATTTTAATTCTCGATGTGCCCCATCATCCATGAATAGTCCCACAAAAAACACAACAATTTTCTGAATTTATATTTAAAATTATAAAATGAAGGTTTTAACAAATCGTAAATTATACTACAGCATAAAAAATGTTTTAATTGAAAATCATGCTAAATATTATTAAATACTCCAAGATCATGGAAAAGCAATCGAAAAATACAAAAGGATACAATTGAAAAAGAACTAAGTAACATCACCTGAAAAAGTTTTATGAGAACGTGGGCAGTGGAATTAAATCATGTCCAATATTATCATATACATATAAATATAATAAATTAATTAATATCCTAAGAATATATACATTCGAAATCGAAACAAAAAATATTAATGTTTCTAAATAATTATTAAAATAAAAAAAATATAGATTGAACTAAAAAGCAATATTAAAACGGAACACAAAATAACTACCTTTGATACTAAACTGTATTTACTACAATTTTATAAGATTTTCATTAACTATCAAAAAATCAAAATAATGAGCATCTCATTCTTGTCTGATAATTATATTTTTCAAAATATGTGAGATCTTATATATATATATGCACACACACATTATTGCTACAGTTGATTTACTTTCAATCAGGTTATGAACAGATATAAAATATTATTGAATTATTTCCATAAAGATAAAAAAATACTCTTGATCTTTTATAATTAAGTATGCTTACAATGGCATGATTTATATATCATATATAGTATAAAGTATAAACCCACACACGACCAAGGACATGCATTGTCTTTGTGCTTCGTCTTCCACCACAAGATCAACGAGTGAGGATCGCAATCCCAAGAAAAAAAAGATCGTAACTTTTTTCTTGCCCTCCTTTCTTTTTCTTTGCAATATTCTTTTCTCCCTGTTTGGAGCATAAAATGGTCTGTGATCCTCTCTCGCTCTCCGTTTTGCTTCTTCTCTGGTGTGTGTGACGTCACCTTACGTCATCTTCCCGGTGTTCTCTGTCATTCTTCTGATCCCTTCGTATCGTTTCAGAGGTCTCTCTCTCTCTCTCTTCAACGGTGAGAATCTGTTTGGTTACTGAGAAAATGAGAATGCATAACAGGAAAACGAAGATCAAAAGGAAAAAAAATTAACATAAGGACGAAAGATAAATGTTTCAGGCTTTTCCAGAAATCCTCTGACCGGTTCTTCTTCTTTGTCTTTTTTTGTGCATATTTTTTTTTTGCTGGAAACATTTGATTCATTTTTAATTTCTTTAATACTATTTTAGGATCATAATGTTTCAAGTTTCTTCCAGAAAAAGCCCTTTTTCTGGGTTTTTCCATGAGTGAATCTGGAAAGTTGACATATTTTTATTGTTTTAAAACCAAAAGGGTGATTTTGAATCTTCTAAGTTTCCATTTTTCGTTTCGAATGGGAAAGTTAGTCAAAGAGGTTATAATGGGATCTGGGTTTCCAGATTTTCTCAGATGGTAGGGTTTTTGCTTATTTTCCCGGAAAAGCAAAGAGAAAGCTTCAAGCTTTGCGGCATTCGATATTCATTTTCCCAGATTTGTTACTTAGAGTTACAAATTGATTCCCCTTCAAGTCAGATCATGATCACATCATCCTTTGGATTCAATATCAAATCTCTGGATCATCACTTCCCTTTTCTTGACACATTATACCATCTTCAAATCTCTGCAAAACTTAGCTCTGAAGATGATTTTAGTTTATTTTTTTTTTAAAGTTTTAGTTTTTATAATCCTTCTTTATCATTCTGCGGAATCCTGGTTGTGTTCGTTCCATGTCAGAAACCTGTTTGTTTCCCGGGAAAAGAATCTGTAGGAAAATGGCCGAGTTATCCATTTATACACACGTGTATGTATATATAATCTAATGTTTGATCTGATAAGTCCACTGCAAGTATCTGAACCTTCTCTTCAAGTTTTCAGATTCAAGATCAGCGACATAAACGAGAGAGAGAGAATCAATCAAACTTTTTCTCCAAAACGTTTTGATCATTCCCTTGGAATGGGGCATTTCTCCTCCATGTTCAACGGCTTAACTCCATCCTTCTTGATCAAGAAAGTTAGGAACAACAATGGCAACAGAGAAGCGGCCGATGAGATGGCGAGGGAGGCGAAGAAGAACGAGCTGATTCTCAGATCTTCCGGATACATTTACGCCGACGGGTCCAACACCTTGGCCTCTGTCTTCTCCAAACGCGGCGAAAAAGGCGTTAACCAAGATTGCGCGATCGTGTGGGAGGTACTATCATGTTTTAGATTTAGCGTTTTCTGCTGTTTTGCGTTTGCGTTTTGAATCCGTTTCGAGCTTGTCTGAATTCTCTGGTCCTGTCTTTTGGTCGATGAGCAGAAATTCGGGTGCCAAGAAGACATTATCTTCTGCGGGATATTTGATGGACACGGTCCTTGGGGTCATTTCGTGGCGAAACATGTACGGAACTCTTTGCCTTCGTCGTTACTCTGCAATTGGCAAGAGACTCTCGCTCATATCGAACTCAACACTGAAACCGGACTGGAATCCGACAAAAAGCTTCAGCCCTTCAACATCTGGAAACGTTCATACCTCAAGACCTGCTCCGAGGTTGATCAGGAGCTCGAAAATCAGCGGAAGATCGATACATTCTACAGCGGCACAACCGGTCTTACAATTGTCAGACAGGTAAAAAAAAACAGTGGACCTACTGAAAAACCTTGGAAAACGTTTTGGCTGATGGATTTCGACGGTAAAGATTCGATCTTTTTGTTCTTCCGTTTGTGTCCAGGGTGAAGATATTTACGTAGCAAACGTAGGGGATTCTCGTGCTGTTCTGGCTACGGTTTCCGCCGAAGGAAGCTTGGTCTCGGTTCAGCTCACCATCGACTTCAAACCCGATTTGCCACGTGAGTCTCGAGAAATTCGCCATATCCATTCAAACCCATCTGCCTGAACCTCTCGATTAGTCCATATTATAAACACCCGTATGATTAAATCATATAAATCAACAAACTTTGAAGCATTTTCAGCTAAAGTTCCTTACCTTTCTGCACTGTGGGTTCGATTCTGGTGCAAAAAACAGAGGAGGAGGAGCGCATAGTGAGAAGCAACGGCCGGGTTTTCTGCCTGGAAGACGAGCCCGGAGTGCAGAGAGTGTGGCTACCCGACGAGGAATCTCCAGGACTGGCAATGTCCAGAGCATTCGGAGATTACTGTATCAAAGAATACGGACTTGTATCTGTCCCCGAAGTCACACAAAGGCGTATAACCACCAGAGACCAGTTCGTAATCTTGGCCACTGATGGGGTAAGCATCAAAAGCCAAAAACTTTTGATCGTAATCGGTATATATAATGAGGGTTCATTCTCCTTTTTTGGAGGAAGGTATGGGATGTGATATCGAACCAGGAGGCAGTGGAGATAGTATCATCGGTGTCGGAGAGGCCTAAGGCGGCTAGGCGGCTTGTCGAGAAGGCGGTTAAGGCCTGGAAGAAGAAGAGACCGGGATTCGCCATGGACGATATCTCAGCCATTTGCCTCTTCTTCCACTCTTCTTCTTCCAAGTAGCGTTTCCAGTGTTGGGGGAAAAGAAGAAGTGCAATGTGATGTAAACAGACTAGGCGAAAATCACGGAGCGTTTGCGTTTGCGTTTGCTGAATGCACCATGGTTTCTGTTGATCACATTAACAAGTAATTAGCTATGATTCTATTAGCTCTCTGAATCTCAAGCTATAACAATGGCAGATGTGTTACAGTAGAGAGAGAGAGAATAGAGAGAGAAACCGAAAACTGTATATTTCTTGTTATCTCGTAACCGAGTTTCTTTACATGTATTTATATCCTTCGCCTATGTAACCGCTATAACGGCTTACAAAATGATATTTGTATATATCTAACACCCTCCTCTCAAGACTATATCAACTAGTAGGAAGATATAGGCTTGAAACTTGCAATTTCGAGAGGAATGAATGAAACAGAGCAGGGTGCAAAACCTTGGTGAAAATGTCAGCAAGTTGATTTCCACTCTTGACATGCATGGTTCGCAAGAAACCTTCTTTGAGCTTGTCCCGAACCAGATGGCAATCGAGTTCAATGTGTTTCGTACGCTCATGAAACACTTGATTCGACGCAATATGAAGTGCGGACTTGTTGTCACAGTATAAGTTTGCTGGCCGAGAGACTGTAACGTCGAGATCTTTCAGCAAATGAGACAACCAAACTAACTCACACGTAGTATTTGCAAGAGCTCGAAACTCAATGAGACAGTATTCTGTTTCTTTGCTTTCCATGAAATAAGAGAGTTTCCAAGGAAAACGCAGAACCCAGTCACCGATCTTCTCGAGTCTTGGCATTGAGCCCAATCTGCATCTACAAACACATCCAAGTGCAGGTCTGATTCAACAGAATAAAATAGACCGTGACCTGGATTTGTCTTCAAATATCGAACAATTCGCTGTGCTGCTTTAAAGTGCTCGTCTGTTGGTTTGCTCATAAACTGACTCAGCTTATGAACTGAGTAAGTAGCGTCTGGTCTGGTAATAGTCAAGTAAAGTAATCTTCCAACCAAAGCTCTGTATGAAGAGGGATCTGACAAAGCTGTACCAGTATCTTGAGTAAGTTTTATTGCAGGATCCATTGGCACAGAAACAGGTTTGCAAGCAAGAAGTCCTGTATCTGACAACAAATCCAAACAATATTTCCGCTGACAGATTGAGATACCTTTTGAAGTCCGAGCAATTTCAAGTCCAAGGAAGAACTTAAGTTGTCCAAGATCCTTGATCTTAAAATGCTTGTGTAGCAACAGTTTCAACTCTTCTTCTGCTTTCTTGTCATTACTAGCTATGACAATATCATCAACATATACTAGTAAGACAAGAAAACTGGTACTTGTTTTCCGAACAAACAAAGAATGGTCTGCTTGGGACTGTCGAAACCCAGCTTGCAGCATAACCGAACTGAATTTCTGGTACCATTGTCCTGAAGTTTGTCGTAATCCGTACAAGGACTTCTGTAACTGCATTCCGAGATAGCACTTCACCAGGCGACGCTTCATAACTAGGAGGTAGAGACATGTAAATGTCTTCCTCAAGATCCCCATGCAAAAACGCGTTCGTAACATCCATTTGAGTAAGATGCCAGTTCTGTTTTGCTGCCAACGCCAGGAGTAGCTTCACAGTCACGAGTTTAGCAACAGGGGAGAACGTGTCTATGAAATCAACACCTTCCTGTTGTGTAAATCTTTTTGCAACTAAACGAGTTTTATATCTCTCAACGCTTCCATCAGGATTCCTCTTGATTTTGAAGACCCACTTACATTCCACAGCTCGTTTCCCTTTCGGTAACTCAACGACAGACCAAGTACCGTTACCATGCAATGCTTGTAGTTCAACATCCATGGCCTTTTTTCAATTATCAGAAACCACTGCCTCTTTAAAAGATTTTGGTTCAGTTTCAGAGGAGATTTGAAAGATAAAGTCTTTGTAAGGTTTGGACAATTTGTTATATGAAAGGACGGAAGAAAGTGGATAAATTGGGTTACTAGATTGGTCATGGATTGCAGTATAACAGTGATACTGCTGTAGATAAGAAGGTGGCTTGGGATTTCGACGTGGTCTTTCTGAGGGAAGTGAAGTATTCTCAGACTCAGATTGTGGAGCTAAAGGAGAATCTGGTGTATTAAAATCTGATACATCCGAACCAATATGATTAGATGTATCATCATCAGGTATTGGTAATGGCAAAATGGTTTGATAAAAAAGCTCGGTGACAGAGTCTGGAATAGACTCTGTAGGTTCAGAAGAACATGGGAAAATGGTTTCATGAAACTCCACATTTCTGGATATAAAGACAGCATTGGTTTCTGTATCCAGTAACTTGTAACCCTTAAAACCATTAGGGTAACCAAGGAAAACAGCTGACCTTGATCTTGGAGAAAACTTATTAGCTCTCTGAATCTCAAGCTATAACAATGGCAGATGTGTTACAGTAGAGAGAGAGAGAGAATAGAGAGAGAAACCGAAAACTGTATATTTCTTGTTATCTCGTAACCGAGTTTCTTTACATGTATTTATATCCTTCGCCTATGTAACCGCTATAACGGCTTACAAAATGATATTTGTATATATCTAACAGATTCTTCTTCGTTAAGCTCAGAGTTCCTATCGCATCGAATTCATTGATACGAACAGATTCAATGGACACTACAGGCAGACAACTTCGATATGGTTCTGGCGGGTAACTGCAGGGGTAGTTCGGTCATTTAATAGACGAGGGGGGTTGAGCATTAGCTAAATTTCCACCGTCAATAAAGAGCTTCGGTATCTTTACTGTTTCTTCCGTTTTCCTTTAAATAAAAAATAGATAAAATCCAAAAACAAACACTGAATTTTTTAATTTTGATAAAAAAAAAAATTAAATCTTTTATTTTATCAAATAAATATTAAATTTTTTAAATTTGATAAAATAAACATTAATTCTTCAACAATTATCCAAGTAAACAAAATCACTAAAAAAATTATGTATTTTTTTGAATCACTAAAAAAATTAAATATTTTTTTATAATAAGAGGATCAGTTAAAAAAATTCAATATTTTTAGATTCGTTTTAAAAGTTTAATGTTTATTTGATAAAAAATAAAATTCAATATTTTTTTTGACAAAATTAAAAAATTCAGTGAACGTTTTTTGAGATTTTCCCTAAAAACTATCATTTCCTTCGTATTTTACTTGAATTCAATAAGAATTTGGTTGATTTGACTTGAGAAAAATCACAAGTAATTCGGATACAATGACCATTCGGGTTTCGAGAAAAAAGGATACAACAAACAATATTGTGCATATAAAACAGTGGCAGACCCTCGGTCTCAATCAGAGGCCGAGACTCCAGTTCCTGCAGAGACAGTGAACTTTGGCAAGAGAAGCCATGTAATCATCTGACCTGAAACAACACAAGACACAAAATCAAAAGACACCATCTTCTCAATACTTTCCTTTCATTATTTCCTCAAGAAATCAGAGATAGTATGTGCTTAGGATTCAAACCTTTGCCCGTATGGTGATTCACACGCCGCCGTGATGTGAGACTTCGCCTCTTCGGGTTTACCCTGCATAAATATATACATTGGCGGTTGTAAGTATATTGCCGGATAGACGGAAGTCAAACTGTCGAGAGAAATACAAGATCATGTTTTAGACCTCAGCTTCGTAGTAAAGCCCCGAGTAAAGGGAAGCGTAGAAATACTCGTTTGCCTGGCCGCTTGAGAAGATATTGACTAACTGCTCGGATAAAAGTTTCGTTAAGAAAGAAAAACTCGATACAGTAATAACAAGAAACCGTCTCGAACCTTTTCAGGGTCTCCGCCGTTCTTGAACATGTTATAAGCTTCCCGCATTACAGGCCGAGGATCTCTTCCAACCTGCAAGAAGATAAAGGGGACATTCCGTATGGGTTTTGCATCTATTCTTTCTCTCTTCTATATATGGCTTAAAGAGTAATTTATTTGACAGACCCTTCTGTAAATTTCTGTGTTTAATATGTCTCGGAACACCATTAAAGATACACCCTTTTTCTAGAATAACCTTGGGATTGGATATCCACCTCAAGAAACTGTTTTCGTGCCTCATCAACTCCATAGAGCCGAGCTTCACAGAGAAAGCACCAAATTGACTCCTCGGTGTCATTCGGGTTCTGAGCAACGTCTAACCGAAACTGCTCTGCACCTTCTTCAAATCTGTACTTCATATTCAACATCACTTTCTTGACAAAAAGAGATAGCATAGAATTCACAGGATAACAAACTCCGGGATTCCATTTTTCGGAATGAACTCAGGAACGAACTTGCCTACTTTAAGAATCAAGCTCAAAACAGTGAGAATCGAGAGCGAAATCAAGCAAAGTGTTGGCATTTGGTACCTGTCGAGATAGTAGAGGGAAAGACCGCGTTGCCAAAGATCTGCAGCGAAGTATATATATCAGTGTCTCGGCCGAGCAAGAAATAAGCTTTTAGGGGTTTGATCATTATAACAATCTCTGTTTTGTAGGTAAGTTATCAGTTCAATATCAAAATCATTGCAAATGAATCGAATTCTACAGGCAGAAAACATAAACCTACATGCCTTTTGCCGGGGATCCAGCTCAATCGCCCGATCGAACTCTGCCAATGACCCCGAAACATCACCCTTGCACATCAAGAAAACACACACACACAAAAATAGTTGCAGTTTTGTGATTTCTTTTGGTACAAATTTTCGATTTGTAGGATGTAAATGGAAAAACCCAGTAGAAGTTTTAACTTTATGTAATTCTTGGTTGACTGTACTGTTTGTTTGCCCAGAAAATCCATTCAAGTCGCGTCTTTTCGCCAAAAAAAAAATCAAGATCAAACTTTTTTTTTATTCTTTTTGTTCCTTTTTCATTGCGATTTCGATTTTGTACCTGTCTAAAGAGCAGCATTCCGCGTCGAATCGCAGCGACGGCTTCACGAGGATCCGAATTTCCGCCGCCGGTGATGGCGTCCCAGATCGAGGAAACCGAAGGGAGGAACAGTCTCCGAGAGAATGTGAGAGGTGGGTGGCGGGAAAATTGGGGATTTAGGGTTTGGAACGGCAATAAGGCCGGTAAAGGGCGGGAAAACGGAGGAGATGTGTAGATGATGGGTTTCAAGTTCTGGGTTAGTGCCATCAATGGCGGAGAGAAAGAATTTTCCAAAATATCGCGGCGATTCTGAAAATTCTCTTCAAATTTTCCGGGAATTTTCTCACTCGGTTATTTCCAGTGGATAAGGAGTCAAAATGAGGTTGGGGACGGGGACATACCTAACTTCAGTTGAAATGACCAAATTACCCATGAACTCGTTTCGTTTCCTCGTCTCTCCATATAACATTCCGTACAGAAAATCATTACAAGCTTGCAAATATTTAAATCCATATCGAAAAAAATTGGATAATAAATGATAACACATTCACAATTCTATCTTCATTATAATGAAAAATCATTAAAACATGATCTTAATTTATCCTTATAATTAATAAAATAAGTCGTTGTTCATTTTTCTCCACACATAAGATACATTATTTTTACTTCCAAAATTTCACACAGTTTCTAGAACCGTAGCGAATATAGAAAAATACGATTGATATACTAAAAAAATACATCAAATTGCAGTCAAAATATATATATGTTTCAATTTATATTCACACAAAATTGGTATTCCAGAATGTGGGGTCCGAATATTCAGTGGACCTTTTAGAAACCTAGTTAATGACACGTGGTTTTTCCTTACAGCCGCAGTATTGTTGAATGCGGTTTTCTCCACATGGTAAGATTTCCATAAAAGGACATTATAAATCCATAAACATATTTGTATGTATATATACACACAAAAAAAACATATATAAACTTAGAAAACGTTTGCAAAATATCATATAAAAAAAAAGGTAATATTACCATTATGTGATGCATCCAAGTTACAGAAAAGGACGAAAATATTAAAAAAAAAAATGTGGGGAGATGTGTAATAATATTATACTACATTAAATTTAAAACGAATAACGAGGGGAGGCGGAGGCGTGCATGCTATTGAATTCGAAGTTTAAATCTAGAGGGACAAATCTCGTCCCCAGTCTTTGGAACTGCCGTCATGCCTCGATCGAACATCTTCCTTATTGTCGGCTTGATGAGCTTTGTCACTAGAACCGCTTTCTCCAACGGTCGAGATGAAATTCCTCGAGTAATCAATGATATCACCGATCATCAAACGTTTCGACGGTCGAAGAATGAAATTCTTTGGTAAACCGTCGTTCGAAAAGAGATCTTTTCCGGCGAAAACCCGGTTATTGTTCGCCGGAGGGACACGAGGGGTCACGGAAGGGCCGCCGTGTCCGATCGAGGAGTTGGTCGGATGATAGAAAACGGGTTTCTGAAAAATCGGATCGAAACGTGAACCGAGATGGTTATCGTATGATAAACTGCTGATCCAGGATCCACCGGAGAACGGCGATCGGTTCAAGTAGGGGTGCAGAAAGGCGAGAGTAGGGTACTCAGATTCCATCTGCTTTCGCTTCTTCTCCCATTCACGTTCTTGCTTGTGAGCATTTTGGTGTCCGCCTAGGGCTTGTGAGGTGGAGAACTCTTTCTTGCAGAAGTTGCAAGCATAAACCCTAGATCTCAGATAACTTGAATTCCCCCCCTCCTCCTGTGCTTGTTCTTCTTCCCAACCGAAACGAAGGTTTTTGATCTTGTCCCGGGACAAGATCGAAAACCCGGGTTTCGGATTCACCGTCTCTCGTTCCTGATCCATGAGTTTTTTCGCAAGTTTCTCCGTAACAGTGCCCGGTTTGGTTGCGGAAGAACCAGAAGAAGAAGAGACGGAAACTACGTGGATCGCCATATCTATATATATCTGTATATCTATATATATGATATGGTGAATCAAAACGAATGGAGAGTGAGAGAGAGAGGGAGGGGGAGATGATATTGCATGTGGTCCGGTCCCTATTTATCGAGTGGAGTGGTTTGATATGTGTTCATGATATTCAAAAGGGTTATACATGGAATGAAATCTCCGAGTTTATTTGGACGAGAGGGAACTCGTCTCGGATTTTTACACATTATGATGAGCAGACGCCCCAAAGTTTATTTTCATATTTCTTTTATAGATATTAATTTCAATCTCTCTTGCTTCCTGCTTAGTTTTCTATGGATATTATCCAATTTTACGGCCCTTTTCCCCGGCTCGATTGCTTAAGTTTAAAATCTATAGGAATATGAGATTATGCTCCTGATTTTCCATTTTCGATTTAATCATTAACCCTTCGTGCATATAAATAAAATCAATAAATTTAGAGATTTCTCTAGTATTAAAACATAAAACTAGTTAAAAAAACGTATATGATCATCATAAACCACCAAAAACCATCAAAATTTCCATGCAAATGCGCGTGCATGCTCGCATCCATAAAATACCCATATTTTTCATGCAAATACTATTATTTTTATATTGCGTGTATATATATATATATATATATATACATAATTGTAGAGTAATGATGATATTTCATATGGCATTTTTTTACAAATGCATTTATTATATGGTATACACTATATTTGAAACTTTAAAAATCGGAAATATGGAAAATCAACCTTATAAGCTTGACAAATTAGATTTATATGTTATTACAGAACAATCCAACTTCATATGAGTTTTCTTAGATCCATTAGATTTAATTCCGATTTAAAAAAAAAAAGTAAAAAAGAAAAATAAATATGCTTGTCATGGTATGTTTATCATTTGGGTCAATCTCGACTAGTTCCACAATATTCTTATCAGGACAAATACCAAAAAATTTCCAGATTACAAGGAAAAATAACTATATTTGCATTTTAAAAAGTTGTGATATTTATACCCAATAGATTTTTAAATGTACATACACATATATCGACAATCGTATTCTAGAAAATTTAAACTATATAGTTTAATGCTGAATTTTACTTTAATAGACTGACAAAATAGTTTAAGAAAATTAAATTGATGATTAACTATAACAGCACTTCATCGTGTGTTTTTATCACAAAATTATAAAATTTTCGTGGTTATTTTAAAATAGAAACCAAATACAGATAGTTTGATCATAACTATAATCCGATTTAAAATGAATAGAATATGATTTTTCTAGAATCAATATCGAACTTAAATTGATATAAACAATAAAAATGGAACCGAATCCAAAATTTAGAAAAAGAAATAAATATTTTTTTCATTGTTGCCTAATACCAATAGGTTAGAACGTCTGGTATCAATTTTCATAATTAGAAAAACAATCATGCGTAAAAAAAAGGAAAAAAATAATAAGTAATTTATTTGTTCCACGTTTACTTTGGTTATGTAATAAATGACATTTCCGACAAAAGCTTCCGAGGAAGCGCATATGAGAATCAATTCGCGTTCACACGGAGAAGAATCGGTTAAAAGATTTATTAATGTGAAAACAAAAAATATTCCACTTACTTAAATTGCAATTACAATTTTTTTTGTATCACATCAACTGTTACATCATTAACCCTTCTTTTTAAAATTTATTACAAATTTATTTTAAAAATTATAACAAAATAAAAAAATAGGTAAATAATTATAATATATATATATATATATATATATTCCCATAGTTTTATAAAGATTTACGTATAAATACACGCACTTTGTAAATTCTAAAAAATATATGAAATTTAAAGATATTGTAATATTTTCCGTATGGTTGATTCACTATAGATGATAGAGGTGCCGTGTTAACTTACATAATCAAAGAATTAGTTCTGCTTATTTTCAAAATCGGATTTAAACCGTTTGGTTTGTCAATTGCCTCTTGATCTGTGACATTTTATCTGGAACAAATTTTTATTAGATCGGAGCAGTTCAAAGATCTTTTCTGTTCCCACACTCTTGGAACATTTTTTTTACTTGGATTATCCACAGATGTTCCCAATCTTCGGGAGATCATTGTAATGCAAAGTGATTTGTGACATCACTATTTCAGAGGAAACCCAAGAAAAAAGATGAAAACTTTGAAACAGTAAAATGGGTGAAAGCATCAAATCAATGTCTGAAACTGGCAAAAGAGAGAGAACCCAAAAATGGTTCTCGACCAAAATTTCGATTAGGACAAAACACCACAGAATCAGAAAGATCAAACACAGAAAAATCTCCTTACACTTTGAATCCACGGCTCTTTCTCCTTCCCCTGGCTCTCTCGAACTTCCTTCCCTTGGACCGAACGTATGGCTTCGTATGGCTGTGTGGCACACCCGGCGCTGGACCAAAGTGCTTTACCGCTTCACGAGCATTCTTCGGACCTCTTAGAAGAACCTAAGACCCCGACACAAACCCGGAATCTAAGAAATCCAGAGACCAATCACTCCATAACATCGAAGAATAAAGATTCAGTCGAGACAAATACCGTGTTTTGGCCCAAAGGAGCTCGGAGAGCGAGCTGATCAAAGGTCAAGCACTCCCCACCAGCTTTCTCGATACGGGCCCTGGCTGTTTCCGTAAACCTCAAAGCGGTAACCTTCAAAGCAGGTACCTCGTATACTCTCACGTCATCGGTCACAGTCCCAACAACCACACCAATCTTGTCTTCCTATTAAAAACAGGTTAACACAAAAGAGGTGGTTATAAACGCATAAAACGCACACCAAAAATGACGCATGAGATGACAACTACAAACTTCAATCAATTCAAACCTGATCAATTTCCCAACTACACACAAGAAACAAGAACAGCAGATTCTGATATATCAACCTAAACCCGACAAGGAGGGACCAAACGAATTAAACTAAAATTTACAGATAACAATTCATACCCATATGAAGGTAACAGAAGAATCACCGCTTTCAAAGTAAAGGAACTCAGAAGATATTACAAAGACTGGTTAATGGTGATGTGATTCTTTGACTTTTTTAACACATTTCCACCCTAATAACAAGATACAGCCATTCTACACCAAATGAAGGAAATTTCAGAGGCAATATGGCTGAGTCATAACCTCCGACAATACATATAAACATATCTAAATGCATAAAAAGGATCTATAGAAGTGAATGAACCTTGCCCTGCATGAATCTGACGAGCCTAGAAAGAGAGAGAGGAGCTTTGTTGACTTTGCTCATGAAAAGCCTCTTCAGTATAACCGCATTGAAGTTGCTTCCAGTTCTCCTCACCAAAAACCGGTAAAGCTGCATGATTTCAACATATCAGAATCGTATAAGATGTTTCCGACGATCTACACAAAAAAAAAAACTCTAGAAATTCTACCTATGGAACTCAAAAGAAAAAGAGAAAATGAGCAAGCGATTTATATGTTCCTTACCTTGACAAGAAGCTTGAGATAGACATCGTCGGATTTCGGGGCTGTCCTTTTGGTCTTCTTGCTCTTACCTCCTGCGATCAAATCAATACCCTGAAAAACAACAAAAAAGCCCCCACGGTCAACCTCGGAAGCGAATGAGACAGAATTCAACCCCGAAATTCAACTTGACAGATCAGAAACCAGACATCTCAGTCGAGACCCAGAAACCACAGTCGACAGACACAAAATCAAGATACCAAATCAAGCTGTAAAATGGAAAACTCGACGAGAAAATGAAAACCCAGAAACGGAGATCAAGAGAGAGGGACAAGAAGAAGAAGAAGAAGAATAGCGGGAATCACCATTGCCGCGCCCGGGGTGTTGACGGAGGAACCGACGGCGTTCTGCAGAAGGAAGGATATAAACAATGAAGCTAGGGTTTAATAACGAGATTTTTAGGGTTCATTTCTTCATCAACGAATTATGGGCCTTAAGCCGGCCCATTAGTAATTATACCTTGATGAGGCCTTAACAAGGCCCATTTGTAACTGTATCTTGGGCTTCATTGAGAGCCTTTGTTATTTTTTGGGCTAAGATAAAGCCCGTTTTACAGCAGCATATCATTTTTGGACCTTTTTTTTTTTGTATGAAATCTATATTTAATTTCTTTCAATGCGTGTAAATAAGATTCATAATATTTATACATCATTATATAATCGGAAATACATATTCAAATTATGTTCAACAGATTCGGGCCGTCTAACTTGATCTGCTGCTACACAAATACAATGATAAATTATTAATTTGTGAGGCTTAATGAAAATAATTAATTATAAGACAATAATTACCCATTCGAGTGGAAACATGATGGCCACGCACCACCTATGTCCGACTCTTTGTACAACTATAAAACCGAAGTTTTCAAGATACGCGGTTTCTCCCTTCCCACAATGAACCAAGTGAATAAAATAATTGTTTTTTTTTATAGGAAAAAATTACATTATTTCCTTATATGTCTATATATGTATATGTATATGTACATGTGTAGTGGGAATCTATTTCATTTGACCACTTCCAATGATATGGTGACACGTGTCGTATTGGTTCAATCTAACACCACCTATCACCACCATAGCTTGCCTTTGAAGGTTTCCAAACCCTTTTTTTGAGTTTGATATTGACAACTAGGACTGGTCATTTAAACCCGTTACCTGCAGATAAGTGGATACCCAGTTTTAAGGGTACCCGAAAAACGGGTACTCGATACCTAATAAAAACGAAAACGAGTATTAAAAACTAGAATACCCGTCATACGGGTTTGGATTCGGGTTTTACATATTGAAATAACAAGTACCCGCGGGTACCCACATATATATTATAAATTATAAAATTAACCTTATATTTTTAATATAATTTCGAAAATATTTAGGTTATTTTACTTACCTTTAGGATTATATATTGGATTTTCAAGTTTTGATGGATTCAATTTCAAATTATTGTATATTTTTTAAAATGTTTCTAGGATTCTATGCATATTATTATATTTTAAGAATTTTCAAACTTAAAAATGTATTTTTGGAATAAAATATGTATATTTTTATTGATTATTTGATTTAATTTTATATTGTTTAATATTTTATATACGGATACGAGTATTCGTGGGTATCCATCTTTTAGTTATGGATACTCGTTGGATGGATATCCGGATGTTGTGAGATAAAGACAGATATTTCTCTAAAATCCGCGAAGACGAAAACGAAGATGGATATCTTAAAAAATGCGGATATCCGACATGTGTCCAGTCGTATTGACAACTTTCCCATTGTTTTTTTTTAAATCATTTGTAAATTCGTCGGGCCCCTTTCAAATTGGATGAAGCATATGATTAACTAAAATGACACTGTCGAGAAATGGGAAATAAATCAGTTTCTTAGAAATTTTAAATCTGGCCGATGAATTGCTAAGTGTAAAAATAAAATAAAATTGCCAAGTGTAATTTCATATTTAAAACGATGCATACATACATACATACATACATACATACATACATATATATATATATATATGCATATTTATTTGTGTAAAAGTTGATTTACGTGATCAATAACCATAAGAAATACTGTGTTAAAAATGAAAATCCCAAATTTTCTGGCGAGTTAAGAGAGAGAAAGAGGACAGCCCATTTGCACCATCTGTTTTCTCTCCTCAATATCCTAAAAGCTGAAACCTTTTTCCATTCAGATTGTTCTGTTCTTATCGTTGTCCATTTGATCCACACTTTCTTCCTCTGGATTTTAGATTTTAGATTTTAGATTTCTTCTGGGTTCTCCTTGTTTGATCCTCTATTTTGTCTCTTCTTTGTTGTTTTTCTTTTTTCCTGCTGTGTTTCTAAAAAGACGCTCCTCCTTTTTTTTTTTTTTTTTTTTGCGGTGTCCAAATGCGACCCGTTGTTCCTCGGATGTTTTGGCGCAAACCCATGTGTTAATTCGGGATTCTGGTGAGAAAAGTTGGGATCTTTGTTGGAAGGGAAACGATGATGATGACGATGGAAGGGATGATGGATAAGGGGGTGTTGGATGATATTATAAGGAGATTGTTGGAAGGGAAAGGAGGGAAACAGGTTCAGCTTTCGGAGAGCGAGATTCGTCAACTATGTGTTAACGCCCGACAAATCTTCCTCTCTCAGCCCAATCTCCTCGAGCTCCATGCCCCAATTCGCATCTGCGCTCTCTCTCTCTCTCTCTCTCTCTCTCTCTCTCTCTCTCTCTCTCTCTCTCTCTCTCGATGGTAATGGTGAATGAATGACGCTGGTGTTAACTGGCGATGATTTGGGTTTGAAGCTGTTGTCTGATTGGTTGTGAAAGAAGACCAGTTTGGCATGTTGGAGATGGGTTGTCATATTGGGAAAAAATTTCTAATTCTGCTGATTAGGGTTCTAAATTGCGTGGGAACATGTGACTGCATATTTCAGCATCTGGGTGTTGGAGTTTTGGCCTGTAATTGGTTATTAGTTGTGTCAAATAGTTATCGAGATCATTTAATATCTTCTCATTCCAACGTTTCTACAAATTGGAAGCCATTAGTGGCATTAGAATTCCAACCAGTTTTGCAACCTGAGTTCCTTGTTAATAATGCAGGACCATAACTACTACTGTTAAATGTTGTGTCTGAAACTCCGGAATAAGATCAAGTTTCGGCATTATGTCATTTGCCCTTATGGTTTGCTCTTAATCTCTTAACAGGTGATATCCATGGACAATACCAAGACCTTCTGAGACTGTTTGAATACGGAGGCTATCCTCCTTCAGCAAACTATCTCTTCCTCGGCGATTATGTGGACAGAGGCAAGCAAAGCCTCGAGACGATATGTTTGCTCTTGGCCTACAAGATCCGGTACCCGTCAAAGATCTATCTCCTGAGAGGAAATCATGAGGACGCCAAGATCAACCGGATTTACGGGTTTTATGACGAATGCAAAAGAAGATTCAACGTACGCCTTTGGAAGATATTCACCGACTGCTTCAACTGTTTGCCAGTTGCTGCCCTTATCGACGATAAGATCCTCTGTATGCATGGTGGTTTGTCGCCAGAATTGGAAAATCTGGGTCAGATAAGGGAGATTCAAAGGCCCACAGAGATTCCAGACAATGGTCTCCTCTGTGATCTGCTTTGGTCGGATCCTGATCCAAAGATCCAAGGTTGGCTTGATAGTGATCGAGGTATCTCCTGCACGTTTGGAGCCGATAGAGTGGCTGAGTTTTTGGATAAGAATGATCTTGACCTCATTTGTCGAGGCCATCAGGTAAAAACAGACTTCTTTCCATATCATAATTCAGAACTGGAACAAGTTCCTGATATGATCAAACATACAATGCAAGTCAATCTCTTGATAAGGAAAACAGTGTTTCTGGTCAATAGATACAATCTCATGTGGTAATACTGAATATGTACTTCATTTACTTCTTCTGCTATATAGTTCACAGGACTTGAAATATGTGAGCATTAACATAAAGTTAGAGACTTTTTAGGTAGTAAACAATATAATTAATCAATCACCCATGATACCGAGTGATTATTATGACAACTTCTCTTGAAATTGAACCACAGTGGTTTTGAAGATAACCCATCAGAGAAGAGAAGAGAGTTGTTATCAACATGATCTTGATTTTGTTTATAGCTTATTCATTTCGCGGGTTTTTTTACTTTGTGTTGCAGGTGGTGGAAGACGGGTACGAGTTCTTTGCGAAAAGGAGATTAGTTACGCTATTCTCAGCTCCCAACTACGGTGGGGAGTTTGACAATGCAGGCGCATTATTGAGCGTTGATGAATCTCTCGTTTGCTCCTTTGAGATTCTGAAACCAGCCCCTGCTTCAAGCAGCAGTTCCACTCCTCTCAAAAAGGTTCGATTCTACTCTTAAAACCTAAGATCAAAACCGAAATCTTAGAACTTCCCGAACGTTCAGACAGAACCCTGAATTCAAACCAGAAATCCAAGCATAATCATCATCAGAAGCTTCCTTCCAGGTGTAACTGAGATCATCCACTCTTGTTAACATTAGGCTACCATATCCAAAACACTGCAGGAAGCTTGAAATTGGTCTTGAAAGAGAATAAACGATCTCGAATTCTCGATAACTATAAGAATTATGAACCCATTTATGCAGATCTTGACACTGATAGATTTTTTCTTGATGGATATTCTCTTTGTCAGGTACCCAAAATGGGAAAGGCTTAGGAAACCACCAATAGCCTTTTTCTCTTGGCACCTGTTTCACAGCTTAAGGTGGACCTTCAGAATTCAGACGGCTTAGTTTCCACTGTTGTATGTCTCTTTTCTGTAATTGGTGATTGCAGTGAAGAAGAAAGAAAGAAAAAAAAAGCTACTTGGTCATATACCAGAGAAGATCCATTTGTAAAAAAAAAATCAGATTTTTTCTGTATATATATATATATATATGCAGAAAGATCTCTCTTCTGCTTCTGGAGATGATGATCTGTCTCCTGTAGTCTGTTTCTTTTCTTTTCTTAGTTAATTTAGAGCGCCTCTCCTGTAGTCTGTTCTTTTCCCATTGTTCACCAAAACCCTCTGGGCATGATCATGAAGATACCACATTTCTTGTATTTCACTTCGATACCATTTCTTGCCAATCCTATGTTCATTGATTCATGGTAGAACCTGACCATTCATAATGGGTCCAGCTAAATCCAGAAACTGTAGATAAAATTTACCCCAAATGTTATGTTGTCCGGAGGGTGTTTATAACCTTATAAAGACTCAATTGTTGTCACATTTTTTATGGGGCTACAACGACACCGGCCCCTCTAGACAGCGACAACCGTGGCGCTGACGGCTACTCGATCGATGGCAGTTTTTCGGTCGTTGGCGGCTAACACACTCTTTGTACTCTTCTTCTGACCATTCCTCTCTCGATCCATATCGTTCGAGGATCGGTTGGATCTAATGCCAATTTATAGATTTATAATAGAACTAACTAAGTTTCAAAGTGTAAACTTTTGTACATTTGATCTATTGCGTTAGTCCATATCTGTATTTTATGTAAAGGAAAATAAATATTAACAGTCTCACTGTGTTCTGCTGGTGCTGGGTCTCGTTGTAATAAAGAAAGGGTTAACATAAATTGACCGTGTTTCTATGAGAAATTACTTAAGATAACACATTCTCTTGATGAAATATTTAAACTAATAATTTATAAAACAAGTTATTGAACTTTAGTATAATATATATAGATAGATTGGTAATTTCGAAGGACCAAATCCATTACAAGCAGCTCAAGGAAGATTCCAACACAAACAAAAGCTAAAAGCAAGAAGACAGCTACAGATCACAGATCAAAAACACGCCAAGAACAATGGTTCAAGGGCGGGCTTTCTCTTTCAATCTTCCTCTTCTCCTTCGTTCTCTGCAATGTTAAAGTACCTCAACTCGTAGACGCTGCGGTCCTTGTTCGATGCAATAACTCGAAGCCAATCCCTCACATTGTGCTTCTTCAGGTACTTCTTTGTCAAGTACTTGAGATACCTGGACTCGGAGAAAAGATAATGGCAAATTGCAGGAATGATGCTTGAGATACTTCCGTAAAAACGAACATGGTTCTATTCTACGATGATTTTGAATCCGGATGCTAAAATCTTGTGACACCCGCATCGAGTTTCAATCCCATGAGACGGATGAAGAAACTGTGTCCCTAATGTTCATGGTGCGAAAACAAGACTGATTCTCGGAAACCGGGAGAGAAAGGCAAAGGCATAAGTTACGAATATATATATATACCTCTTGGAGAACTGGCTGTCAGAATTGACAGTAATCTTGCTCTTGTCACGAATGACGGCGACGGTATCACCGAGTGCACCGGCCTTTCCCCCGACCTTGATCCTCTCCTGAAGAAACTTCTCGAGGGAAGCAATGTCCATTATCTTGTCCTCCACAGGCTTCGAACAGTCGATGATGAAGGATACATTCTTCTTCTTCCCCTTGGGAGCCACTGCGCCACCACGACTCATTCTCTAACCTTCACACATCCCGACACTTATGTTAAGGGAAGCACTAGAAATCAAATTCACCATTCTAAGCATAAACACATCAAACACAAGACGGGTAAAATTGCCAGACCCTCTTTCTGGAAGCACGAGGAAAAAGATGAGAGATTAGTTTCTCAGGTAAAATTTCATCTTCAAAGATCGCGACTTCGTCTAAATTATCGTAACTAGGACACAAGCTGTTTGGATCACGAGAAAATTCAGAAGCAGAAGCAGAAAGGATTCTCACCCAATTCGTTATTTTTTACATGATCATCAAAATTAAAAGCATAACCAGCAAATCCAATGTAAAAATTCACCCACTTGAGATACCGAAATAGAGTACTGGAGCTACTGACAAAACCCTAGATGCTGAAATTGCTCGAGGCAATGAACGAGCGGCGTTTGTGGAAGAAGAAGAAAATGGTAGGGTTTTTCAGTCTGCATTCTGTAATGTAATCTTCAGGGTTTTTTTTTTCTCTCTTTTTATGTTTTACAAAATATCTCTTTAAATTTACAAATCAACCCCAGCAGTTTTAGCTTTATAGCATCATTCCCATGATTTTATTAAATTGACAAATTAACCCTGCATCTTTACCATAACATGCAAATAATACTGGTTTTCAATAAAATGCTTGGCCTTTGAAGTACAGTGCTAGCCAGTCTCATGTATATGTGGGTTTTGAACTTTTGCTTAGTGAATAGTAGCCATTAATAATTTTTTTTTACGAGAAAATTGAAAAAAAGCCCGAACTTTTACTTAGCTTGGTTTATATCCGTATGTTCTCTGTGTTCCACTGTGATATAATATTGTTCTTAAACAAAACGTCGAGTAAAATAATGTGCTTATCCATAAAAAAAAAAAAAAAAAAAAAAAAAAACACTCATGCATCGGTTTCTCTAGTAGTAATGAAAGTTTTTCACTTTGTTATCTATAATAACATACTAGGCGGCAATGGCAGATGATGCAGGCTTTTCATCGTTTCAGTCCTTGTGAGACAAGTTATTCGGCGGTAGAAATTTCGGGTAGCGGTCTTTAGCTGCGGCTTTGTGGTCATAGTACTCCACCGCGGCTGCTCCAGCGAGAGCAGCCAATGTCAGTGCCTGAGCATGTAGCCTGAGAAGAAGAACCCGGTAATAAACGCGTGAGATGATGATGATGATGATGATGATTGCCATGCATGGCAAATGATGCGACCAAGGAGGAAGAAACAAAATGGTTTTGAACATTCTTTTCCAAATCTTGACAAGGTGTGCATATGCATGCGGAACAACCAAAAGGCTGTAACATATTTATCACAGTGGGTGTTCCATAAGAAAAAAAAGGAGCAACCTTTACCATGTTTGTGATGAACATGCAAATGGGCAAGTGCATATATGATCAATGCTATCGTATGCATCACGAAAATGAATCACTGAACCGTTCAATATGACAAACGATTTGTTTAGAAAATGCAAACAAGCTTTTACTTGGCTGAAGATTGATGGATAAAAGGCAATGATTCCAAGATGGATCTCTACAGATTCCAAAACAGAATAGAAATAACTTCGATTAACGGAAAAGAAGCGACAAAAATGGCGAGAACAAGACACACAAACACAAAAGGTTACTTGTACAGTCTCTTTTCCAAATCGCTTAGTACCTTTCGACAACAGAAGAATGCATACACGAACAGAAGATTATAGAGGAAATCATAACCGAAACCAAAGTTCACTTCACACTTCATCAAACAAAGAATGCAAATGTTGGGCAAGAAGCAGAACATTTGGAACGCCTCAATGCAAATTTCTTGATCATTTAGAGACCAATAGAAACTCAAACTTGAAACTCCTCTATGAAATGATATTATTTTTTAACCATCCACATCCATCCATCAATACCTTATGCCATCTAAAACAATGTATGGGATCAAAGCTACGACTAAAGAACAGAAGGAACATTGAGAATTCAGCAACTTTGATTAGATAGATTACCTAGCGTGGATGATCTTGACACTGGTTTTCATGGAGGGCTGAGACCAGTTATAGGCGATTGATCCCGCGATGCCACTTAGCCATAAACAGCCTACAAAGGATAGCATTCGCAAAATCAAGGATCACAAAATTTCGAAAATCAAAAGTACTCAGACCCAAAAATCCCCGAAGAATGATCAAAACTCAGGCAGCCCATATCAGAACTGACACTAAAACCGAAGCACAAAACCTAGGACGACGATCGAAATCAAGATGAATCACGAGGAGACAAACCATAACAGAAAGGGTAAAAAGCATAATCAAATCAAAGTGCCAAACACGCAATCGATATAGGGAGCCAGATTGGATGTAACAGACAATCTCGGTTTTGGTATAATACAAATCACATTGGAAAAAAAAAAGATATAGGGAGCCAACCCCCAACATTGAACGAACAAGAGAAAACGAAATCACGCGAAAAGTGACGCATTCCATCGTTTATCACACGCCAAATCGACACAGAAGAACAACGTTCGACGATGAACACGCGAGGATAAAAAGGGGGAGCAATTACCAACGGTACGAAGCTTGTGCTCGGAGACCCATTCTCTGATTTCGTCAAATCTGGTCTTTGATTCCGCCATTGTTTTGAAAAAAAAAGAAGAGAAAATTTACTTGGATTTGACAGAGAGAGAGAGATCTTGGGTATGAGCAGAGCGATCCTTATGAAGCGGCCGAGGAAGAGATCCCGAAATTTGCTCATTCGAGTTCCCTTTTCGATTTTATACCTCTAGGCTCTAGCAACAATCACCGACCTATTTATTTTTTGAGGGAAAACAATTTTTTTCAATAAATTATTAACAAAATTTTGAACTTTTTTTGGTTAAATTTTAAATTTGAACTTCTTTATTACTGTTTTAGATTATTTTACATATTTCAAAATATTTATCATTCTATATTTTCGAGATATTTTTTTATAATAATTTTCAGTTTTATCTCTGTCAAATTTTAATAAATTATTAATAATATTATTATTTTTATTAATAAAAATATTAAATAAAAATATATCTGACTTTTTTATTTTTAAAAAAATATAAACTAAACTACAACGTTAAATATTTTGAAATAGAGAGAGTAACGCAAGATGTCTCTATCTCATAAGATTTTATCAAAATTTTACACAAGATTAGGTAACCTTTTTTTGTTTAACAGGGTATAATAAAACGAATTTAAAAAAAAAATAGAAATGAATAATTATAAAATTAAATGAAAACACATGTCGATACCAAATTGAAATCGATGAAACCAAGGGGCGATTACAGACGGCGGCGAAAAAGAACACAACCGATCCACCACCAAAACCAATTAATAAATTATTTGAGTTACCTTGGCTTATTGCTTTTTTTTTTTTTCATTTACAAGCTTCTATAAGTTCAATTGATTTATAGACTTATATTAATTATTTTTATATCTTTCAGTTCTTATTAAATACGGGTTATATTAAATCTATATAAAAAATATTTTTAAACAAAATGGATTTTATTAAAATTTCCCTCTATTTTTATATCTTTATCAAATTCAAACTAAATATGTTTTAAACCGTACATATGAATCAAACATAATTAAAGGAATCAATGTCTCCGTGAATTTCGTGTATCTGGCTGGCTTTGCTTCCGTACGACTATCTATCTTACAAGGTCGAGGACATCTCAATACATTAAACACGTGCATATATATATATATATATATATATATATAGAGAGAGAGAGAGAGAGAGAGGACTTTCTTCATGTCCCCCATGTCCAATTATAACCAAATGTCCAAACCCCCGCCTTCGAACTACACGACCCGACACCCTTAACCCCAACCAGCTCAGGCGCGCCAGCCGCTGGGGCCGGGGCTCAGGAGCAGCAGCTCCAAGCTCTCGAAAGCATTACATAACCATTTTGTTTTTTTACATATAACTTGGGGAGTCAGTTTCAGTTCATGGTCTCAAATCATTCACCAATGGTTTTTTTTTTCTCTTTATGAATATCATGGAACAGAGTGGGAAGCTTTCTACGAAGAAGAAGACCCGCCTCCATGTCTCAGGTCGTGGAAGCTTCCGGCCGCGGTCGTCCAACACGACGTGTCTCTTTCCATCTGATTCAACGTTACTGATTGTGGCTGCAGAGACTGATCTCTCTCCCATATGTTAAACCGTACGAACCCACCACCGCCACCCACCGGAGCTGATGACGAGGCCGTCACGGAAGCTATTCCTCTCCGACCAGACTGGTAAACAGCAGCAGTTGTATCACTTAGTGGTCGGTTGTAAGCTTGAAGGGCTTGAACTCTGTCTCGGCTCCTCACGCTGCTGCCTGGATAAGACAGATCCCTTCTGTCCGAACTGCACAACAACATCAATCTCGCTCAGCGTTCAGATACCGTTTAACACACTTATCTGATCTCATCTTATCATCAGTATAGTTTTTTTGTCATTGTTTTCTTGAGGGTAAAAGTCCAAAGACCTTTTATTTACCTGTGGCCGAGAAAAGGGCGCATATAATGAGGAGGACGAGCAGGAGGAGGCGGCCTGGGTCTGATCATGTCCAAACTTGCCCTTGAAGTCCTCGGACCCATACGCAGAGCCGTTGGCTGAGGCGGACTACCAATGTGAGCGCCCGATCCAGAGAACGGAGGTGGTGGTGGGGGTGACGTGTGATAATCCCAGCTGTAATAGTGCGGATCCACAGCCGGGTAGCAGTACGGCATTGGCACTCCCCCCGCCACCGATGAACCCGAGTTCCAGTGGCTACTGAAACTCGAGCTGTCTGAACCTGAGCTCGAAGACGAAGCATGGACCGGGCTGAAGTAGGCTATGTATGGACAAGAGTGGCCTGCTGAAGAAGCCATTGTTGGTTCGGAGAAAAAACCGTGCTGGCCCAAGAGATCGTTATCTGTATTGTCAAATTCGGTTGCTGGATGAAAACCCTAACGCAAGAAAATGCGAGGGATAACGCAAACAAGAACAAAAAAAGGGGAAAAGGACAGATCGGATAATAGTGTCCTTACATGAACTTGGCGAAAATTCTCCGTTCCTACAGAGTTTTAGATAGAAGTGGAACGTGTAAACAAACTTGAACTCATCAGCAAGAACAATGGAAAAAAGTTTGAATTCAGAATGCCAAAGTTGTACATCTCAAGACATTTACCGAAAAGAGCTCATATATGATTATGATATGTATACACGATGAGATGCTTACTCAAAAGAAGGAAGGCGGGCTAAGCTTCCAAAGGGACACCAGTGAACTCCAAAGGACTGAAATTCATGGAACATAAAGATTCAGAAGATATGAATGAACTATAAAATTCAAACCTCAAATAGAACAATATGCTATAACGAAAACCGATCACTCCTACTACATAAGAACTGCTCTTATACGGTGAACATTCTAAAATGAAAGTTATTGCTTCAAGTCACATAAATAACAGCTGTTTATGATTTAAGCAACAAACTCATTCCCTCGATTAAAAGCTCATATCTTTCACGAAAAGGGCAAACACTACGTGTGACCAAAATCATCCTTAGATACGCTATTTTCCTTCGCTTTAGAAATATTAAAGCGACAAATACAGAAACGAAAAACAAAAAATCCCACACAAAGAGACAAGAACAAGAGATTTGGTAAAGTGGACGGGACTTTCAGTTTCTTACCATTTCAGAGTATGCCAGATCATATATCTCTTCTTCGTGTGTCCAATCCTCATTGTTGAAATCCGGGAAAGACCGGCACCCATTTGCATAAAGCCATTGCCCTTTCTCTATTTTCCGGCAATTGGGGCACTGCATCATGCCTTTTGCGTTAAACGCTGAGCCAATGCAATCTTGAAACAAAGAAAACAGATATAACAGTTAGATTTTTCTCAAGGCAAAGCCTTTGATATGTGCACACTGCACAACTACAATCACATTCTAATATCGGTTAACAATCAGTAAAGAACAACCACCAAACCGACATACATATACTGACTCTAACTGCTTAGGCCTTGGTTCCATCTAGCGTTGAACCATTAGCTAGCCCCAAACTTGGTCAGCTTACATGAAAAAAACATAGAAATCTCTACATTCAGACATGAAATGGCTAAGTGCCTCATTCCTCCAAAAAACACAATCAAAACATTCAACAACCTTGAATGTTCAGAGATTCTGAAGCTAACAAGATTCATCAAACAATGAGGATTCAACCAGAAAAAAGACTAGTCATGTGATCGTGGAGTCATCAGTTCCAAGATGATGTGATTTCTCACAATCCCTCACCAAAAATAAGATCAAATCATAATTCTCTTTGACGAATAAACAGATTAGCTTCAAAACTCAGTATATATCCCAAAACATAAACAAGGACTAATCATATCGCAGAAACGCTACAGATCCAGCTTTTTCTAAGCGAATCGAAACAAAAGATAGATTCCTGACAAGTTCAAATCAAAATCAGATGCGAACCCAGCACGAAAACCTATCTCATTCAGATTTATGGAAAGCATAATTCACCTAGATGGAACTGGTGGCCGCATTGAAGCTTTGCCCACGATCGATCACCGTTATCGGCCACCGTCTCGAGGCAAATCGAACACGCAACCGAAGCAGACCCATCAACGCCGTCGCGAGAATCGCAACCGCCGCCGTCATCGGCGAGATCATTATCCCCGAAATCGCATTCCTTTGCATTGTTCCCTAAACCCATCACCGAAATCAGAACAACCACAAATCTCAAAACCCCTTTTTGACCGATGAAATCGCCGCAAAATTCGAACCCAATTACGCAAAAACCCCCCGACCCCAATACGTTTTCGCTATGATTTGATCGAGTTACCAGACGAACTTAAATCCCCTATGATTTACGAAAACTCTCCGATCGATGGCAAGAGACCGAATCAAGAAGGAAAAAAAAAAGTAGGCTCCTTTTTTTTGTTCTTCCCTCCGCGTGTTCTTTGGGAGAAGGATTGGGTTATGGGTCAAGCAATAACCGCTGTCCGACCTCCATAATGGACGGCTCAGATTCACTCTCACGGATTGGTTTTCGGTTGACATTAGCTGCTGCCCTCATGTTTTCCTTTTTTTTTCTTGTCTATTTCCATTTTCACAATAATAATTTTGGTTTACTTTCCTAAATAAAAATGATTCTTTTTCTTAATAAATTTATTTTTTATTCGATTATCTTGATTTTTAAATTTTTATAAGTTTTTTGTTTAAAAAAAGTTGCAATTTTGATTAGCATAGATTGGAAGAGGAAAAAAAAAGAAAACATTCCACATAAATAAGGTTGTAATTTAAGCTATATCATTTAATTATCATTCTTTGTTAAAATTAATTTGAGCTATTCACATTGCAAAGTTATTCACCATTCCCAAATCATTTAAAATTATAGTATTTTTAAACACATTTATTGCATTAGGTTAAGGGCAAAAATCATTTATGTAACATTGATTCGAATAAGTGACATAAATGTAGAACGGATAATAAAAAAATTATGCGTTGTTTCTATATAATAGGTTGATTTGTACATGTGCATTTATGGGTGTTTAAGCCTTAAAGCATATAAAATGGAGGAAATTAATTACAAAAAAGAAATCCATGACACGTTGGTGGAACAAAAACAAAATGCTCCGTTTCAAAATATTTATAGTTTTAGATTATTTTTGATGTTTCAAAATATTTACCATTTTACATTTTCAATACATTTTTTTACAATAATTTTCAATTTTATCTCTACCAAATTCTAATAAATTATTAATGATAACATTGTTTTTATCATCAAAATTTAATGAATAAAATTAAAAATATTAAATAAGAATATATATAATTTTTTCTCTCTTTTTAAAAAAAATAAAACAAGTTAAAATTATAAATATTTTAAAACGGAATAGTAATATAGTACTCCCTCGGTTTCATTTTAAATGTCGTTTAAGAATATTACACACAAATTAAGAAAAATAGTGTTTTAACCAAAATACCCTTATTTATTGCATAGATAATTACTACTTCTAGGCATGCAAAATATTTAAATATTATTAATTAAGGGTAAATTTGGAAAAAATATTAAAAAATACATTGAAAATCGGAAAACGTCATTTATTTTGAAACAAAAAAATTGTTCTAAAACGTCATCTATAATTAAACAGAGGGAGTATTTATTAAAAAAAGGGAAATTAAAAGAAGGGTCAAAGATTAGTCAAGAGTTTTGTAAGCCCGATGCAATTATGTTCCCAAGCGCAGAATAATTGGTCCACATTTTCAATTTATTTATTATCTTTTTTTACTTTTTTTAAGGAATGAACTTGACCTTTATAAAAAAAAAACTTTGAATATCTAATATTCCCCTTTTTTCCCTTAATGTTTAACAAACAATGTTATCTTTAACTTAAATCGACAAATATTAATAATATGGACCGAAGGTAGACTAAGAATGAAAATTTTACAAGTAAAGAGAAAAAGAAAACCTCGAACCGGTTAGGAGTTTCGTCTTAAACAGATAAACCAACCAAATGGTAAATGTTAAATGCATCTTCTCCCAAACCACATCAAACCGGTCAGGAAGAAAACTTCGGCTTCAGTTTCACAAATAGAACCAACGGCTATATCAACCACGCCCACGACCGCCTCCTATTTTCACATTATACAAATATTTTAGTTCAACTAAGGTAGGGGTTTTCCGCCCCAACGAACGACTCATATGGGACTAGACCCAGAAAAAAAAAACCCGAAAGTTGATTTCCCAAACACTATATGAGAGGAGACCGGATTGTATCTTGAAAAACAAAACCTGAATATCAGTTTTGGGTTCAGGTAATTGGATAAACATTTTCATACCCTAGATTCTTAGAGATATTTCGGGTACCCAACCTGAGTTTAATGTGCTCTCTGTTTGCGCAAGAACTTTAAAAACCTATATGGATGGCAAGAGTTTTATCACACATGGGGAGAGATGTGCTTTTGGGGTTAAACTAGTTTCCGAGTTTATATGGATCCTATGATGTGGGGCATTTTTTATGTTTTTTTTTTTGAAAGCGGGAGGGAGTGGTCAAAAAGTCAATGAGATTTTTGGGTTTCACAAATGTACCGCTTTACTTTTATATATTTATGATTGGACCCCAACTCTATGAAAAATAGTTGTCAAGCCCTGCTTCAATGTGAATAATTGAATTTCCAAATATAATATCACAAGCAGTATAGATTTAGTTAAAGATTAATCGGCATCTTCAATCGCAATTTATCTTTTTAAATCGTCAAACATTTTTTTTTTGTAGTGAAGAATCTTACCAAATGCAATAATAAACTAATTGCAATGCGTCTGACTAAGAATAAAACCAAACGAAATAATTACGGAGTTGAGAAGCGTTTTGGAACATAGACATGAGATATCACATAGAAGTGTTTTGGAACTTGCTAAAATGGTGAAAATAAGTTATCTAAAATATAGTTTTTCAAAGTGCAATAGATCCGTTGTCGTCCAGCGGTTAGGATATCTGGCTTTCACCCAGGAGACCCGGGTTCGATTCCCGGCAACGGAATTTTTTTCCCTTAACAATTCCAGTTTAATTACAATACTCATTATTACATTCCCACACATATTTATATTTATATATATATATAATGGTAAATTCATGTTTATTGGAAAGCTGGAGTTGCGAGTGGAAATAATTATAATCGACAATAATATGATGCCAATTAAATAATCAAAAAATAAATGATAGAGAATTAAAGAATCCGACGATCCAAAAGGACAAAATATTTATTCAAAATCTTCTGGATTGTGTTAGGCTGTGATGGTCCCCCCATCATTTACCATGCAACCAACAACATGCCATTAAATTCAAGAACCCTACTCCATATATATATTGAAATTTGAATTTTAAATTCTATTAATTCAGTTGAATGGATTGTTCATATCATAGCATTTTTTTTTCATTATTCGATGCGTGCGATTCCACGTTGGAGAGAACTCGACGCATTAATTTCATTATGTCGTAAAGTGTTTTTGAAACTTGGAACGATTCAGATTTAATGACACGTCGGATTTACCAATCCAAAAAAAATATAATCACTCTAAAAAAGATTATTTGAACCAATCGCATTAATCACCCGACTTCATGTTTGGATTTTATGTTTATTCACTAAAACTCTTTCTTTCTTTCTTTCTTTTCCTACTTTTAATTATTTTTATATTTGATTCAATTTAATTAATTTGATTTAATAAAAAAAAAACATGTCATGAAATGAATTTTTATACGGTGTTCGGTCCAATTCCAATTATATCATATAACATCCTCCCAATAACCACCAGAACTAAAGTATCATTGGCCATTTCAATTATTCATCGGATTAATACTTAAATCTACCTATTCTATTTACCAAAATTTTAAAAATAATTAAATCATGAATACGGCATTACAATGAACCCCCCCCCCCCAAAGCAATCTATACATACGAAGAATATGAACATTATTTATATTTTTATGAAACCAATACAAGTTTTTTTCCCCAAAGTGTGACAATGAAATGAAATGAAAACAAAAGAAAAACCACAGAAAGAAAAGGAAGTGAAGGGCAAAACAGGAAATTCACTTTACCGATTCGGCTGCTTCAACGCCTGCACCTGGTGATGGTGCTGCAGCCGCGGCTGTACGGATTCGCCTGGGCTCCTCTCCGGCAGTTGTAGTACGAAGCGCCGCGCCGAGAGCAGGGCACGCTGTTCCTCTGGAGCGCACCGTAGCTGATGTACTTGTTCGTCGCTAGTATGCGCCTGCTGATCTCCGAGCCGAGCTCGAGCTCTTCTTCCTCGGCCATACACTCCGCGATCGATCCTTTGCACCCTGAGAGCGAGGATCCGGTGCGGATGAGTCCCACAGCAGCTCCGTAGTCATCGGCGGATTCGACGGCTGCGGTTAAGATCGCGAGGATCGAGAGGATGCCGTAGATCGCGCGAGATCTCACCATTTCCGCCCAAGTAACCTTCTTTCTGGTTCGGAGACTTTCGATTTGCTCCTTGTTGCCTTCTCTTCTCCTCGTCTGGGATTTCTGTGAATAATTTCTTTTGTTCTCTACTTGACAGCTGAAGACCACAACAGGGCTTTGGCCTTGGGAATGTAATGTGGCTTCTTATTATATCCCGAGGAAATTAAGATAACGGGTCGTGTTTAGCATTTATTTACGGAAATGCCATCCGATTCGTTAGCCGGAGAATATTTGCATCTAGACATGTATCTTTCCATCAGTCGTGGATTGAAAAAAAATACTACAAGCCTATGCCTATGTATATGTCGTGTACAGCCGACAGAAGCATTAGAATGGCAAATTGGTAAATTAGTGGTAAGCTATGGGCAGTCTTTTTGCGGCAACTGGGTAGACGGTAGACGGCTTCTTTGTTTCCCTGAGGAGAGAGAAAGAGATGGGTCCGTCTAATGCTCCGTTAACGTTTACCTGCACCGTTACAGTTAGGTACGGTATCAATTCGATTGCGAATTATTACAGTTTTTGATGTGTAGATAGATGGTCAAATATTAAAAAGATACATTATCATACAATAGGCCTAATTTTACAAATTTATAACTTTATATGGATTTAAATCAAACACTATAATCTCTGAATTTAATTATGGTCCAGAGATTTTGGTGAAACACTGTTACCATCGTCAAAATCAACATAAAGACATGGAAACTACTTATAATTCTAACATTGTTTATATTCACCGCCTACATACTATATATATATATATATAGAATGTGACAATTTTTATAATCTCACAAAATTTAAATCAAATCACACATTCACACGATAGTTGTGCTCACCGAATTCATCCATCCAATCTCCCAAGATCTCAAACTTGTTTTTTACGTTATAAAGTAAACCATTACAATTTATTAAAAGAATCAAAATTCAAAAAGTGCTTAAAAATGGCCGTAAATTGTAAAACTATAAAAGTGAGAAATTTGGAAAACAACTGCAAACAAAAAATATTTGAAAATTTAAAATTTTAAATCAATATCTAATATTTATCATCAAATAACATTCAAATCTATATGAATATCAATTTTTAGGTGATTAATTACATCTATATATATATATATATATCATATCCATTACCCGTTGTACATATATTATCCCCCATAATGTGAATGTAAAAAATCTCCAAATTTATTTTGATATAATTATAAAGTGTTAAAAAAGTTTCCAAATTCCAATGTGTAGAACAATTTTATTTATTTGTTTATTTATTTTATCTCCGCACACCAATCATAATTTCTTTAAACAAGAAGCAACGGCTACTTTTTTTTCTTCGGTGATAAGATAACGGTGATATTTAACGGCGTTAAGAGAAGAAGCGGCGGTCCGTTTAAAAGGAGAAAAATGTGGGTCCAAGTCACAGATCACCAATGACGGCGTTTGCGCGTTCCTATTTCCAATTGCCAGCTCTTCCCCGTGAAATCTAATGTCAGTGTTTTTATTTTATTTCATTCATTGTATGAAAATAATATTGACAATGATAATAAAGTTCATTATGATTACTATTTTGTTATGACATATATATATATATTTACAAATATAGTATACGAATTCAGATTAAATATTTCATGTGCTAAAATCCAAATATTTGATATATTTTGCCTGTTGTTTTTCGATATTATTATCATTTCTAAATATATATATATATATATATATATATATATATATTCAAGCCAAAAAAGAGAGAGGGTATTTTCGTCATTAACACGACAAAAGTTAGGGTTTTAGGTACTTACAAGTGGAGATAGGTCATGTGATTTTTGCATTCATCGTCTTTGTCTCCCGCTGCTGCTGTTTCTCAACTGGTAAATGATCATCCTTTTCCATCTTTCCAAATCCGCCGCTTCATTTGTTTCGATCTGAAATCAATTTCGTTTCGGCGTATGTTTATCTGTAGAAAAAGTAAGAACCCTTTATCCGTTTACTCTGAAAATACAAGCGTAAGTCCTCGTGTCGTGTATTCGTCCGAGAGATTCTGCGATTTCGATAGGTAAAATGTAGAAAGGTTGAATCTTTTGATGGATTCCTTTGATTCCAACCACTACCCAGATGACGGTTTTCCGTGATACTGAGACCGTACTTGCAAATCTTTTGTATAGTTTTGTTAGGATACTCTCTTGTTTTCCAGTCTCTGTGAAAGGATCTACATTGTTGAGTTTGCTCAGACAAAACAGTGTTTTGGGGTTTCTGGCATCGAAGCTGTGTTGCCACTTGCCACTGTGTTAGTTCATAGCATCAAGATTAACGTGTTAGATGGGATTCGGATTAGAAAACAAGAACTAGGATCCAAAGTTTTGATAGCCATCAGATGGAATTGAGATATTTATACCCGAATTGAATGAATTTGTTCGGTGATCCACAACATCTCCTCACAGTTGCCAAAGAGTCGAGAGATCCAGGTCCTCGTCGGGCTGATTTTTTGAGTTGACATCATGTTTAGTTGTGGCAGGAAGGTTGGGCTGATAGCTGGTTAAGAATTTTCCATTTGTGAATGCATTCATTCAATCTCTTTCCTCGGCATGTGGAATTTGCTTAGTTCTTGAATGTTTTACCATTTTATGCTCTGACCTGCCTTTTGATAATGTTCATGCGTTGAATGTTGATTTTTCAGAACTGCAGAATAAGTTGTCTTGTAGTGGCTATTTCAATGGGTGTATACAATGAATTACTTCAGTGTTGGGAGAGAAATGTGAATGGAACACTTAAGATAACAGAAAGATGAGGACCCTTAATGTTCACATTATTTTGGCAAAAGGGTTTTAGAATCGACACTGAAGCATTTGTTTATTGGTTCAGTTTGATCTCCCAAGATGCAGAACGAAGAGGGTCAGATCACCGAGCTTTACATCCCCAGGAAATGGTGTTTACAACGTTTCTATCTTCTCCACGATACATGTGTTGTGCTCGTTTACCGACCCTTTTTTTGATTTTTTTCGCCCTGATCTTGCAGCTCGGCTACTAACAGGTTGATCACCTCGAAGGATCACGCCTCTGTCCAGATCAATATAGGTCATCTGGATGCAGATGGCATCTACACTGGCCAGTTCACCACCTTTGCCCTCTGCGGTTTTGTCCGTGCCCAGGTTTGTAGTATTTCTCTAAATGACTCTTTGCAAGCATTCTTACTCTTACTTTTATTTTGTCTTTCGATTTGTCACCTGATCCTTAGACTATATGGTTTGACTTGCAATGAAACAGAAACCAACTAGTTGCGTCCCTTAGGTTTGATCATTCATATCAAATCCACTCGTGTATCTCTATGCTTCAAACATGATGGATGATGTCATCCTCTGCATGGATGTGTGGTTATGACACTCTTAGGTTTGATCATCTTGGGAAACAACGTTAACACCGATATTGTGTTGCCTGAAATCTGCAGGGAGATGCTGACGGTGCCATTGACAGGCTATGGCAGAAGAAGAAGGTCGAAGCCCGACAACAGTGAAGACTCAACGTTCTTTCTTCATCACCCACTTCTCCAATGGTGTCATTTTCTTAAGGGATATGAGGAACAAGGTTTTGTCCAATCAGACTTTTGTTTGATGCAGGGAGATGCTTTATTTATTTATTTATTATTCCTCTTAAGGATTTTTCTCATTTTACAAAATTGCCCCATTAGTTACGTATCGTTCAGTAACGTCCACAGCGTTACAACTGTGCCCGTTTGTCATTTTACATGCACTCGCGCGAACACAACAAGCGTTCGGATTCTGTTCGCTAACTAACCCAAACTAATCCGACGGCTGATATTTGCACGAGTAAAATTTCGACGGTGAAGATTCGTAGGCAGGGTCGACGTGCCCGTACGGATAACTACATAACTGACACGACGTCGTTTTACGCGGGCTTCAGTTCCTTCATCATTTATTGGGCTCTATCTTTATTGGGCCTGGTTTTAGGCCCATTTAAAGCGCGTGTCTTGGCGCCCGAATCTGCAAACTGCTGCTGGGGTTTTACTCCGGGAGGTTTAGGATCAAACGAGAAATCTTTCCTACTTTCCGAACGAAGACGACGCGTTCTCGGATCCAGCTTTTGATTTGCGATGTACAATTTCCTGGTTCGATGTTTGTCTCTTGTTTCTCGATCGGTACGTTTCGAGCTCCTGGATCAATTTTCTACGTTTTCTGATATATATATTTTTTTTTTGCAGAGAAGAGCTATCTCCTCTACCGACAGAAGCTCGCTTTCCCGAACCATTGCTGTTGCTGCAGCTACTTCCGGTCTTTTCTATGCTAACAACAGTTCCGATGCAAGTAAGATACGATTTCTCAGTCTCATTTACGAATTCAGTAAATTCGCTTGCTTTGGATTTTTCCGGGTAAATATACGGAAATGTAGGAGTTCTTCCGTTATGTGAACTTCCTGGCGAATTTCTTCTTTCTATGGTTGTTTGGTTTGTATGGCTAATTTTTAAGTTACATGTATTCTAGAAACGAGATTCTCGCTGTCTTTTCCTGCACCTGTTTGGGAATCCCTGCGGCAACCTTGGCCGATTACACAGGACCTGATTCATCGCCCGGATCAATGGTTGTTTGGTACGTATGTTTATTTATCTGATTGTCTTAATCTCACTTTTGAATTGCAGATATTGGTTCCTTTTTCTGATGGTCTTATTGTGCAGGAAATCTCTTTGCATTTTCTTCTAGAGACAGTCCTCAATCACCTGCTGCAGATGATGAGAATAGGGTTCCTGTTGAACCTGTTGATAGTCCAAATCCTTGTCCTGGATGTTTGGGCCGAGATACCATCGCCAATGCAGCTGCAAGGGTTGGACCAGCAGTTGTGAATCTGTCGGTTCCACAGGGTACCTCTTTGCTTGTCTCTGGATGTCATCTATTCTACTGCTGTAGTTCGGTGTATTGCCAACTGTGTTGTTTGGTGGTTTGAGTTTTGCAGGTTTTTATGGGCTCACTTCTGGGAAGAGTATTGGATCTGGGACTATCATTGACGCTGATGGCACGATATTGACCTGTGCTCATGTTGTGGTTGATTTTCAGGGCATACGTCAATCGACAAAAGGGAGGGTAAGCACAAAAGATAATGGATAATCTTGCCTAAAATAATTGGGCATTGAGTAAAGATCTCCTCTTGCATTGTGTATTATCTCAGTCATAAAATACTGTTGATAAATTCTGGCATATGGTCCCTTGTGCTTGTCCTAGTTTATTTGAACGATATCATTACCATGAAAAGTTGCTAAAAGTCATCTTTTTCTAAGAAATATGTAGGTCTGGCTCAGTCAATCTTGTTAATGATCTTGAGTGGCCTTTTTAATTTCAGGATCACGTTGACTAATTATATAGGATGAAAAAATTGTATCAAAACAGGATTCTGCTGGCTGCATGATTGACTTTTACTGGTGTCAAACGATTTATCTGGGACTCTTCCTTCTAGATGGACTTTTAGTCTTGAGTATAAATGTATGCTGTGGAATAATTGTGTTAATTCCTCCTGTGTTGCGTTGTAGGTTGATGTAACTTTGCAGGATGGTCGGATGTTTGAAGGTATGGTTGTTAATGCTGATTTACAATCTGACATAGCATTAGTGAAGATTAAGTCAAAGACTCCCCTGCCGACTGCCAAACTTGGTTCTTCGAGCAAGCTTCGTCCTGGGGACTGGGTAATATCTGTAGGTTGTCCTCTTTCTCTACAGAACACAATAACTGCTGGTATTGTCAGGTAAAAAACTGCATTTACTTGAGGGAAAAATTGCCCAGCTTTGATTTGATGGGTTTCAAACTCACCTGTATTCTGGATTGTTTACAGTTTACATTTTACTTTTATGGTCAGTTGTGTTGATCGCAAAAGCAGTGATTTGGGTTTAGGAGGCACACGCAGAGAATATCTGCAAACAGATTGTGCGATCAATGCGGTAACCTCTTTCTCTCTCTCTGCAGATAAAAATCTCGTTATGTAGATACTCATTTATTCTTTGCCTGTGCTGTGTGATAGGGAAACTCGGGTGGGCCTCTTGTAAATATGGATGGAGAGGTCGTCGGTGTTAACATCATGAAAGTCTTAGCTGCAGATGGACTTGGGTTTTCAGTGCCAATTGACTCGGTTTCCAAAATCATCGAGCATTTCAAGAAGAGGGGGTATACTCTCAACCTTGCACTAAACTCATTTCTTAAGAGATGTGAACCAAATCTATGCTTTTATTTGTATCAGTAATGCTTGATTTTACCGCTGTCTGAAGGGTGTGATTTAGTGATATAGAAACAATGCCTTGCAGGAGAGTGGTTCGTCCATGGCTTGGGTTGAAAATGCTTGAGCTCAATGACATGATTGTTGCTCAGCTCAAAGAACGAGACCCCACATTCCCTGATGTCAACAGAGGTATTCTCATCTCCATGGTGAGTTTCACTGCCCATCCGTCTTCTTCATCAAGAAGATGGAAATTGTTTATTGACCATGCGATCCTAATTTTTGTTTATCGTTTTTTGGCTCTTAGTCACATCGGTGACCGCATCCCACTCTACTGTGGCATGTTCATGAAAGATCTGTCTGAATGTGGTGTTGTAGGCATCTCCTGGATCTCCAGCGGATAGAGCTGGATTCAGACCAGGCGACGTTGTTGTTCAATTTGATGGAAAGCCAGTGGAAACCATCAAAGAGGCACGTCTCTCTCTCTCTCTCTCTCCAGTGAGTTTGTGCAATTAAAGCTTAGGATGATTTGAATGTGAACCTGTGGTTGCAGATCATCGAGATATTGGATGATAGGATTGGGAAACCGATGAAGGCAGTGGTCAAAAGATCGAACAACACTCTGGTGACACTGACAGTCATTCCTGAGGAAGCGAATCCAGACATGTGATGCGAAACCCATCTTTGTTGCAGAAGGAATGGTTCAAGTCTCAAGAGGCGCAGAGCTAATAAGTGGAAATTGAAAATTCATGTTTTTCCAATGTACAAAGATAGCTTGGGTTTCTCCGGATCAAATACAAAATTAGAGAACACTGTTCCCAAATACAAAATATGCATGTAGTGTATGTAATAGCAACCACATCAACTTATTTCATGGAAAGCGAATAAACGATGTCCTCTGTTTCGGCTTTCCGCCAAATCAACATAAGCATGGTCCATCCATCATCATATGAACTAAAAATCGAAAACGAGTGTATATGAAATGTCAACATTTTCTTTTTACTATCTAACAAAAAGCATGATGGCCTTTTGGGGAGAGATTCGCAACCAACTTCAATACACACATACAAGAGAGAGCCATGTTTGGAGAGAGACACATTGCCAACGTCTTTTCTCTCATGGAATTTGATGGAACTCTCGGACCCGTTTCAGCGATCCCCCACTCTGTTGTCTGGCTCACAAGGGATGGTAGGGGACGTAGCCCAACAAGCCAGTAACGTTGGCCACCACGTCGTTGCACCTTGATAAGAGGCTCATCATCTGCTGTGAGATATCCTCGGCCACACCCACCGGATGGCTCGGCCCGTGAAAATTTCTGCGAGGTGGTGGCTGAGCAGGTGGGTTCACATGGTCCATGGTACTATTAACCAGGGGTGGCCGTTTTGCATATTGGGGAGGGAGAGGAAGAATGGGTGGCAATGTTGAAGCAGGAAGTGGAGGAACAACGTTTTGAAAGTTCTTACTAACAAATTCCATTGCTACAGACGATGATGATGATGAAGGTCCGTCGTTGAAGGCATTGTTTCTACTAGTGTGTTCTTCCCCACCCAACACGAATTTCACTCTGGCAGTTCCACGGTTGTCATCGCCTGGTTTCTTCAGGCATGACTTCAGCTGGGTGGTCGGTGGAGGCAGAATTGGTTGGTGAATGATGGGTGGCGCTTGTCCTGCCCATTCCTTCTGTGGTTCCCTGTTCGGTTCATCCGCCTTGCCCTTCTGTGGTTCGAGCGGCTCGGCGGCAGGAGCTTCCACATCACGGAGAAAGAACCTCACGTTCACGTTGCCAAAGAGGGAATTGTTTCCCGTTGCGTATTTGAAGGCAGTCTGTGCATCGGCTCTGTACAGAAAGACGACTCGGCAGGTTGAGGATTTCCAGAAGACTCTGATGGCTGACTGGTCCAACAGCCCGAAACGGCCGAACCTTGCCTTTAGCTGGGCAGCTGAAGGAAGAGACGTGCCTGGGGGAAACTTCATGACCAGCATCGTTGGCTCGACCACCTTTGCTGGTGGTGGAGCCGCCTTCTTGGCTGGTTGGGCTTTGGCAGTTTTCGCCTGGCTGGTAGGTGCCGAACCAGGTTGCTGCTCTCTTATTGATTTTGCAGGTGCTGGATTTAGGCCCGTTTGTTCCTTTGACAGATTAGTCTTCTTCAGCTTCTTGGCCGATATGATTTCTTCTTGACGATCGGATGAGAGACGCTTTTTCCCTGTTTTTGACGGATCACCAGTTCTGTTCATAATCTTTGCAGGTTTCAAGGGGTTTATTTCTTTCGCATTATCAGCAGCTTCAGAGGGAGGAGATGAAGCCAAGCTTTTCTGGTAAGTAAGTGAACGGAACTGAAGTAAGAACTGCCTCACAGCTCCAAAAGAACCTCTGTCTGAGGACCCGGAGAAAGGGTCAATGGCAAGAGCATGTAAATGAACCAAGAGCTGTGGTACCTCTAGATCGGTCTTTCTCATGTTTACCTTATTGGAGTCTCTCTTCAGATGGTTTGCCTTGTCCTCTCTCTGTGCTGATCCAAGTTGGGAAGATTTCTTGGCCAGACCTTCACCAGAAGACAAGGGCTTCCTCTTTTCTGCATGTTCAAAGTTTGTTCCCGACCCGGGCTCTTTCTTCTTTTTCTTTTTCTTCTTCAGCTCAGGAGAAGCATTCTCAGAACCCATTTCTCCTAAAGACCGTTTCAGAACTTTGACCTTCTTGATCACACCACCACCAGAACTTTTCCCCTCGAATGGTGATTTACGTAAACTGGAACCTGAAGGAGAATCAGTAGCAGGTTGAACAGAAACTTCATCTGATCTAGAGTGTGCTCCAGTCTCAACTTGCTTAAGACCAGCCATAGGTTCAAGATCTCCATGTCCCGGGATTTGAGCTGTTTTCTCCCCGGTTGTCTCCAACGATGTTCGTGCACAACCCTTGTCATCAGCAGGACATGGCTTCAAACCAGACGATTCTTTACCGAGCATATCTCCACTTGAAGAGGTAAAATCCGTGCTGACAACCCCAGCCTGCTCATGTTTCACAGGAGTTTGAAGAACCGGAGCCCGTCTCTGCAGCACATAATCTCCAGAAGCAGATACATCAGCACTCTGAAGCTGAGAAGCCCCTGAACTTGCTTGGACCTGGCCGAATTGGACTGTCCTTGAATCACCAACTTCATCCCTCCGTTTAAAAAGATATTTGTCTTGTTTTGTTGCGTCCTTAGCTTTCACAGGCTTTGTAGCGACCTTCATGTCACCCAGAGTTTCAGCTATGACCAGTGGGCCACTCAAGGGAGCTGTAAAACAAATACAAGTATACGTATGAGAAAATAAAAATGAAGCAGATAGAGAAGGCAAAGGCTTGTAGATACTCAAACATAGAGTGGCATAAAACCTTTTCAAGTTAGGCCACCTTTTGCATCGAGAATTCAATGGCATAGGCATTTGATGTTTCTTTCATGCATCCTGATGTTAAAAATACAACTTGAGAGCTACAACCAAGCCATCCATTTATAAGCATAAAAGAGCCAAAGATTTTTAAGGACATCAAAGATTTTTAAGGCTTGTAGATACTCAATCCCTTAATACGAGATTCAATCTAGACTCAAACGTCACTCATGTTTCTAATAAGACCAAGGCAAAGAACCAACCTGATTACATATACATAAAAAGGTTTATGGAGAAGTATAACTGCACAAAATCCATTTACAAAGTCGAGATAATGAATAGAAGCAGACAATGCCACAATCACAAAATAAGCAATGATACCTCGAGGGGGTTCTTTACTAGGCGGTTCCTGTGTATTCACAGAATGACGTGCAGTTTTCGCCCCAAAGGCCTGAGCATATGTCTCATCAAACTCCTCGAACACTGCCCTACGCAAAGCAGAAACAGCTGCTCTGTTCTTGACAAAGTTTATGTCGTCTGAAAAACACTCTTGGGGTGCTAACGCTAACTGCTTCACAAACGAGAGTGTCTCGAGGGGCAAAAATCTATCCCGAGCATTCTTAATCTGCTCAGCAGAGTAAACCACCTGGGCTTCGTAATCAGGCACATCTACTGCAAAGTACCCATGAACACTAGTAGGCCTAAAATTGTACGGATTTCGACATTTACAAGTCAAGCCAAGAGCCGACCGCCTACTCGCTTCATCCACAGCTTCCTCGACAGCCCTCACAAAGTTCTTCGAATTCATTTGCTGCGATTTTTCAGCAAAGTGTGGTTCAAATGGGATAAGCTCGGCAGGATCGAACCACCCATAACTACTATCCCCGAAGAAAGCAACCAGGACATGGCCTATCCTCCTTGTGCGACGAACAGAGGGCGTCGCAAATGCTTCGTTGAATATATGACCAGGCCACCAAGGATGAGACTTTACCTTTCCCCATACCAGATCGCCCAGTTCGAACCCATAACTCAATGCCCTTGAAATTCCAGTACCTATTTTCTCACTGGCTACATAATCATCAAACTCAGATAGGAGAGATTTGTAATCCGAAACTGCGTAACTTCTTGATTCATCTCCTCGCTGCTCATCTTGTAAATCCATCTGTTCCTCATTCTCCGCATCTCCGGTGCCAATCTCACCAGATTGATCATCAGACACTTCGTTTTTAACCTCTAGACTGGGATTTGTCCTCTCGATAGGGCTATCAGCTCTATCTTCGCTTTTCATTTCGGAAAACATAGGCTCCTTATCATTCTTCCCATCATCCTCACTCCCTTTGTACGCCGCAGGACTTACCTCCTCGGATCTTTCACCGTCTGAAACCCTAGCAGCTCCGTCGTCATCATCTTCTCTCCCCGTAGTCTTCGAATCGATATCCATGGATGAAGCTGCAGCCTCATCAGTAGCTATCAATTCGCCAGAACCCTCCGCGCTAGAACCAGCACCAGCATCACCTGAAGCCACGGGATTCACCTGGGTCTCTTCAGCCGAAACCGATTTATTCGCCAACTCCGCATCGTCCTCCATCGCTAATAACACCGCCGTACGGATCGATTCAAGAAATGGAGTAAAACCCTAGAAACCACTGCGGAGAAAGGAGACGCATACACAATGTCCAAATCCTGCGAATATCTGATTCGGTTAATCGAGGAGAGAACTGAAAAAGAATCAGAAGAGGGGGGGAGGGTGTTTGGCTGTCGAGAAAATCCGGAGAGAGAAAATACCTTGGATTGAGGATTGAGGGGTGTTTCGGTAGCCGTGCGAAACGCTGAGTGCAAGTACGAGATCGAGTGACCGCCCTCTTTCTTTTTTATATTAAAAAGTGGATATCTTATCCTCAATTATAAATAAATATATATTTGATAAAAAAAAAATGTGTACATTTCAACATTTTAAATGAATAAGTCCAATCCAACAAAATAGATATAAATATTGTTATTTAAGTGAAATGATTATTTATATGAAAAATAAGAAGACAGTAAAATCTGTGTATGAGCTCTCTCTCAACGGAACATCCATATCATCAATCATGCCATCATCCATCGCAATCCACAAAATTACAAAGCTTACAAATGAATCTCTCTTTCCTTGAAACCAACAAAACAAAACTCATGAACAAAAAAACACTGACATACTCTGGTAAGGATATATGTAATAATGATTTCTTTCTGTCCGAAAAAACGGATACCCGGCCTGTGGATGGTGTCCGGATATTGGATTTTCGGGTTTATTTTGTCAATGCCTCACGGGGGAGTGTGATTTCTCAAGGGGAATCAACCATTTCTTGGGGGCCACCGGAGAGCCAGCCCCAGACGCCGCCGGAGCTCTGTCGCCTGGCGTTAATGGCGGCAGCTTGTTCCGAGGCCGCCTTTTGACGCTGCATGATTTCTAGTTCCTTCTGCAGCGTTTCCATTGTCTGCAGCTTTTGCCTTAGCTCTGCCACCTCAACCTGCCATAGGATTTACAGTCTCTTAATCTCTTTTCATCATCACCACCATCATCATCCATGGAGACCATAACATAGTATAGCATAAAACTTGCGTCTTTTTGTACCATACGGTTCATCCCCGTCACAAGCTTGGACCTTATCGGGTTTACCATATCATATATTAACTGACTATAGAGAAAAGAAAGAGGACACTTAGGTAATGATAGTGTTATAATTTACCTCTAGTTTGAAACATCTTGATTGCTCCGCCGCAAGTTGGCCACGTACGGATTGAAGTTCCTATAAATCGAAAATATCAAAAACTTCAATGAAACACCATCGAAACCTCGAGGAGCTTCCCACGTCTTTTTTGCTTTTCAGTGCTTGGAATACAAATTCAAAGACCTCATTTTTCTTCTTCTTAAATTAGCAGAGTAATGCTTTTGATAGCATTCAGTAGCAAAAATCAACCGTTTTTCTGATTTTTTTCCCGTAGAAGCGAAGCTGTAACCTTGAGAGTTGCTTATGACTAGGAGATAATTGAACATGCTCAGAGAGGTAAAAGAAATAGAGCCGAGATGTGAATATTATTTATTACCTTGTACAAGTCTGTATTTCGCGACTCTGCTTCTGCTAGCTCTTGCTTTAGTTGGAGACTCTGTAACTTCTCCTTGTTGAGAGATGCTTCCAGTTCTTCCTTCTCGGTTTTGAGGGTTTCAAGAGTGTCTCCGTTATTTGCTTGAACCTGAACACCCGCCACGAAAACAAGGAGGATACAACTAAGAGAAAGACGGGAATAATACAGATGAGGGTAACCATAAATTTTATCACATCATTCCACACAAGGCCAATTTTTTTTTTTTTTTATCTCTTTATATCATATTTAGTTGTGGAACAAAAAGGCAACTTTATATTCGATAGAACGGTAAGAATCTGCAATGAGAGTCTTAAACAGAAAGATAATCCGAAAAGATAATACCTTTGATCCATGATTAACATTGTCCATGACAATTTCTCGTACTCTGCCTTCTTGGCTCGCCTCGATCTCAGACTCAATGTCTCTGGTTGTGCCATTATGAACGGCAGAAACACTGTCTCGAACAGGAGCTTCCATACTCTTTGATTGCAAGGTCGATTTGTGGCTTGGTTTGAGAACATTAACCTAAGAACAAGAAAGGATCAAGAGCAGAATTGAAAGCCAAATAAAGAAAAAATAGCTACGAGTTCAAATAAATGTCTTCACCTCGTTGTTATAACGCCCATTGTATCCACCAAAAGCTACAAGTACATCCTCACCATTGTATGAACTAACAACTAAACTCAATCCCTGTAGCAAAAAATAAAATTTGCTCTAAATTCTGAAAGATAGGAAAAGAAAATCACGAGACATGCGTATTTCAAGGTCGGGAAAAGCTTAAAATCTATCATGTACAATGACGATGATGAGGCAAAGTTATTGAGAAGAATAAAATACAAAAGCAACTATTTTCCTTCAACTACCTCACTAGCAAGGGGGACACGCCCTTGAACTGAAGTGACAGTTGACCAAGCAAGAGTAGACATGTTAAGTACAACAGTATCCGATACCCCTGTAAGAAATTAAAACAAAAGCAGCCCTATCAACCGCCATGTAGAAAAAAAAACTTGAAGCAAATATTAAGTTTTTCCAGAACAAGTTCCAAGGGTGGTGGATGGAAAAGCAATTAACGTGCAAGGATACAATGAAACCGAAGAAGAGGATTTGAGAAGATAAGTGCACACCACTCTTATTATCACCACCACCAACAATAAACCAGCTCTCCCCAATCGTCACACCAGCATGTCCGGCACGTGGAGTTGGCGTCTCACCTTGTTGCGATGGTCGTGACCACTCCATCTATATGTAAACAAATATGTCAAATGTGGAAAAGAACGTTGTGGACCAGTTGAGAAGTGAGAAGCTTAAATTACAGTTTGCAGATCAAGGACATGCAGGTCATTAAAACAAGTTGCATGTGAGCCCCCGCCAAATATAAGAAGGTAACGCTCCGCATGCACTGCGGCAACATGATCGGATCTCGGAGATGGAGGTACACCCCTGCAATGTTGACATCATTTAAACTCCGAACTGCTATATAGAAGGATAGTTGGAATTCTAGAAATCTCTTTGTATTCTGGATATATATTAAAGGGCAGGTAGAGAAAAGTGCAGAAATATCATAAAACTTACACAGCATCTATTTCATCCCAGGTCATGGTTTCTAGGTCAAGTATATGCAAATCGTTTAGAAGAGACCTCTTAGCCTCCTGCCCGCCAAATATCACCAGGCTTTTTCCTACAAGGGTCACTGACTGACCTCCACGTGAAATCTGCAAACATGAGGTAAGGATAAACATAGATTCAATTTAAACTACTAGACTATGTATTCAATTTTCAGTATACGAAAGAATATATTGCATGCATTAGTTGATATTGTAGCTTCTCCTTTTGTTCCGACTGTACCAAGATTTTTTACATGTTCGCTAGTTGCATGGAACATTTCCCATATAAAGGAGGAGAACAACAAACAGATTGACATGAGAAAAGAGAAGCTATACCGGCGGCTTTCCATATGTCTTTAAGGTTGACCAGGTGGAGGTTTCCGGATCAAAAACCTTCACTGTGATAAGAAAACAGACGGAAAAATTACATGCATTAGTTGATATTGTAGAAAGATATCTAAAAGATATTTGCAAATAATTGCCCTGAAATGTGTATAACCCCGTACCTTGGATGGATTCTGAGGGATCCTTCGTATGGCCACCAATAGATAGAAGCTTGCTGTCCCATGATATCTACACAACAAAACAAAGAAGGCCCTTGCATCAACACATTGCTAGATTCCATGTCTACAAACTAATACAGCAAGCGGTTTTTATGAATGCCGTGACTGTACTTTCTTTGCCCAAAACTCTTCTCAGTTCGCACAAGCCCAAAAGAAAGTTCAACCAAACAAACATAAAAAGAAAGTTCAAATACTAACCAAAGAATGACCAGCACAAGGGGTTAGAGTAGCTGGGGACGATGATTCCAGTGGTTCAGTAGCAACCTTGGTTTCAACTCTTGACCAAGTCCAATTTTTTAAATCTAAAGCCTATATTTGCCACACAAATCATAGAAACACGTTTAGGAACTGTCATCAGGAGTACGTGGTTCATAATAGCTCGAATAAGGTAAAATTAAAAAGGATGAGCCAAAGAAGGCAACTGTATTCTCGCATAAGGTAAAACAAAATGGAATATTACAATTACAATAGCTAATGTCATACAAAGAATGCTATAATCTGCTTACATGAAGATCACTAAGGTAGCGTCCATTGTGGTTTCCACCATATATATACATCTTATCTTGTATAACTGCTGCACCATGCTGAAAGAAGTACAACAGGCAAGACTTAGAATTAGAAGAGAGAAGATACAAGTATGAGGGGTCCATTTATTATTGTTTTAAGGAGATAGAAATTATATTACCTCATAACGGGCTTTAGGCCGCTGACCTGATGTTTGCGGCGCAGTCCATTGGTCATACACAGGCACAGTATTTGGGTGTTCTGAGACCACATCTTTATCTTGGGTTTCTGCCAAGGGCCCGTTCTCAGTAGAAATCGTCTTTGTCTCAACACATGAGGTTTCATTCTCAACAACAGGCTCATCTTTTGTGTTCTGCTACAAAACATGAGTTTCAATGAAACATTTAATATACTTTTCTTGGACAAAAGACATGCTTAAACTGAGCACGGGTTTAAAAATGCAATAAAAGAACAGTATTACAAACAGAAACTGACATTTGCTCCTATTACATGGACCATAGAAATATTCAGAATTAGTCTCCATGACTCACATTGATTTGATAATCTAAAGCAGGCTCCATGACAGAGTTAGATGCCCTTGAATACCAACCGGGATCTTCTTCCTATTAAAAGTGAGGAATGCGAAAGAACTTAGCCCATGCCCCAATAAACTCTTAAAACAAATGAATATAAGCCCCTCCGTTGATTACCTCAAGAATTTTCACAAAGAGACGCATTGCCTCAATGGAGGACATGGTTCCCAGCCCCTGCCAACTACAATATGAAAAAACATTAGGATAGTAACATATACGTTTCCCAGGAAAGCTCATAAGGACATATCAAATGTTCACTCTGCCATATATGATATCCCCATAGTTTTGGTATTATGTAATTCTCTGCAATGATCTCATCTCAAGATGCCATCAAAATTCTAGACACATCAATAGTTACGTAACTGTTTCAGTTTTTTCCCATAGGAAGGAAATACAAGTCCTCTTATTCTGTCTAAGTTACATCTAGGATACACTTCGTCTCCAAATCAAGAGACTCAGACACCTTGGCCCTCACAATTTCAACCTACTTAGACCACTGATAATTGAAAAAAAAAAAATCTAAGACCTCTTCTAATGCTTCTCTACCCAAATCCAACCATATCAACCCTCAACAGAAAAAAGGCAGCAACGCATACATATATAAATACAGAACAACAGATGCTTTATTCGCAGAAACACAGTAGTGAAACAAACCTTTTCCATTTGCTTTGCTCTACTGGATTCCACGTACTAGGCTTTGGAACGCTACAGGGTCCTACAGTAGCCTGTCCATGTTATAAAACCAAGAATGAGCAAAACCTTGGTGAGTGATTCTCTTGGATCACAGGGCTAATAATTTGAAGTAAACTAAATGTTTTGTCAAATCAATTGGTAGAGAAGAAATATTCTTTCAGGCAATAGACCTAAAATTTCGGCGTCCATGGGTCAGAAAATAGTCTACCGCAATCCTCATCTTTGTTTTTGGTAAAGGTAAATAGATTAATAGTCGAAAAAATAAAGTCATGTACAAAACCGGGACTTTCCCAAAACTAACTCTTTACGGTACAGGATTCCATGAAGTAGAGCATAACTAAACCACCTAACAAAATAACAATCAGGACCTAAGGGAGGATTGGATCATTTATGTAAATGATCCTCATCTTAACTGAGAACAATGGCTGCCAAACATATCACTCACTTTCATAACAAAAATCACCTAAATGCGCCATTCATCTTCCATGTATTCTGGCGCAGTACGGTGAAATGGCTAATCTTCTTCCATTGTATCAAATTCACATCTATCATCAAATCACAGCTTCAGTATAGATCTAGCTTAATTGAAGCATGCCCAATTAATGTCATCAACTACGACCTCAGTCAAATCAATAATCAACCTCACAAGCAAACATTTAACTGCTCAACGAAATTGTCAATAATGGATCTACATATCGAAATGCCTGAACTCGTATCATTTCTGCTAATCCTCGACAATTCCGAACAGGACTGGAGACATTGGCCAAGACCAGCCAAGAAAGACAAGATAAGCGCCCATTTAAAAAATTCGATCACAATTCGACAAAACTAGCACGAATCAGCGAAGTCGACGAAAAATCCGCATAGGCAACCACTAGATCTCGTAAATTCGTAACTGCGAGAGAATATCAGAAATGGAATATCCTCCACCTGTTGATAAAGCGCGTAGAGAAGGAGAGCAGTATCATTGGAGAATTTCGAGCTGACTTGTTTGGCCGACGAATCAGATCCGTCGAGACCGACGTAGGACGCCGCGGCGTAGAACCTCCCCGGGTAAGCGAGGCCAGAGCTCGCCCTCGCCAGAGCCATTTCCTCTCTCCACTAGTCCGCGGATTTGACCGGAGATCAACGACGACGATGACAAATGGAGAAGACGAAGAGCAGAATCGAGCGTTTCTCCTTTCTGTTGAGATTCAAGTTTTTTTTTTTCCGGAGTTGCAGTAAATAAAATAGTTATTTAATTAATTAAATGAATTATGCTTGTTGGGTGCAGCGTTTATATAGCGGCACGACCAACGCTCACACATATATTATATATGTCGTTTTTGCCCCCGATTAATTCCAGGTTCTTAACCGGTTATGTTCTTTGAAAAAATAAAACCGGCAGAATTAGCTTGAGGTTTGAACCGGGGATAAAACAGGATTTTACTAAAGAACCCTAAAATTAAATAAATTTACGGAGAAAGATCTTAACTTTTGATACATGCTAAAAGACTACAATTCAGATGCAGTCAATTTCAATAGACGGGGTGAAAATGCCCAATTCTAGAATTAAAAAGGATACAGAATTTGAACAAAGCAGCTGCACAAAACAATTTCATAAATCATGTCGACTCTTCGTTCTCTTCCTAAGGATCCATGACTATTTTTTTTCCCGACAGAACACCTCTCCCATGAATGAACCTGAAAAAAAAAACACTGTTTTTGAGTTGAAACTCAGAAAAACTAAAACACAATTCAGGACAAGGAAGCTGGTATCTTCTCTCTTTCGTGTGGGTTCAGTGCCGTACCTTAAAAGAGACAACGAAATGAAACATATCCTCAGGTAGAAGTTCTTGTTCTTGCTGCGTAGAGTCGGTATGCAGACAGTCCAAGGATCGCAACCGCAGCCCCAACTGTGTAATACCCACGAAAACAAACGCACAAATCTGTTATGGACGGGTCTATTTTTGGGGGGAAAACTGTCAAGATGTTAAAAAGGGAAAAACCGGGAAGAGAACTCGCCCGAAACTACTGTGAGAGAACGGTTGATTAGCCTGCGGTAACGTTTACGGCTTTTCCTTGCTTCAGTCTCCGGAATACCCAAATGGGGATGTCCTGCCGCCGTTAAGATCTTGCGGAATAAGTTACCAAAATCACCTAATTTCGAGCTGACGGGTATTGGAGGTTCAATACCCATATCTTGTGTAACCTGTAATAACTCGAAAGGCATCATATGTAAGAGTTTTATCTGGTTATGTTGTGGCTTCAGCAAAGAAATATGAACATTACAGTGCAGTACCCTGAAGGGTTCTTGTACGGTCTGGTGGATCGAGAATGAGTCGCGATCGTCTTTTGCAGAAACCACGAGGCAAGGGACCTCAAAGCCGGTGTCTTCCCCATGTGTCGCGATTTCCACTAGCAACTCAGTTGTTCTCTTATACGACGACTCGTCAGAACTGAGAAAAAAGGGGAAAAAAGCAAACGCAAAAACAAAACAGAACAGAAATTTAAAGCATTGTCTTTGAAGTGTGTTATGCTCAAATTGGTCTAAAAGCGAGGAAAAATCAGTGGGTAGAAGCTACTTATATCTTGAGAATGAGGGGAAATGCCTCAAATTTAACATCTTTCAGAGTTCATATAACAAGGAAGATGCATACTTGTCATACATAAAGACTGCTATATCACACTCAGCCAATGATTCTTTGGATGAAAGCAGTTCTTTAACTCCATCTTCCGGAATTTCCCGCAGCACGAGGGTTTTTTTTGCCCCCTGCAATCATATCCGATAGATAGAGCAGTGAGCTAATGGTGTAAACGATATATAAACATACAATTTGCTTATCCATTGGACCATTTGCCATACCCCGGATTCAGCAACCACATTTACTGCATAGCGGTCATTGGTAGATGATTCTTGATTGTCAGAATACGACCTAGAACCCAGAGAAAGAGTGAATGATCAGAATAAAAACATATCTAAATTCTGAAGTATATATGCATGTATTAACGTGTAGAGTAACGTTTTTATTTTATTTTTTTCTGTATGTGTTCGTGCAAGCATGGATTGATGATGTGAACTCACTACTCAGATGACAGACCTTCCAAGAAAACAGTTCATTAATGCAGATTTCCCTGAGTTCTCGGGTCCAAAGACGAATAACTGGAAAACTGTTCTTTCCGACTGTTGCTTCTTGCGATCTAAGCATCTTCTCCTTGTAACACGGATGGCAGAGGACGGATCAGATGGGAACCCAATGTAAATCAAATATTCCACACTCCGAGCTGGGTCTAAAAGAGTCATCAGTGACCACTGCAGAGACGGGTCAATTTCAAAAGATTAGAAACTTTGAAAGCAACACCTCGAATGGTTTAAAAAAACTCACTCTGGTACAAGAAATCCACTCACTATAAAACCCGAACTCGCCTAACATTGATACCCAACGAAAAGAAACTATACTCAAAGTTACAAAGTTAAAGAAATTCACCCCATCTTGGTACATTAATCAACCACTTCTGAAGAAAAAGCAGGGCAAGAACAACGAGCATATGTATTTGCATGCATGGGAGATGTCTCCTCAAATCTATGCACATGTGAAAGAGAGAGTATTGAGTACCAGTGACAAGAAAGCATCAAGAGATAGTCCTCCAAGGGCGGTTTTCTCCGCAGCATCAACATAAGGAGCTTCCTTCCAAGGACTACAATTAAAAAAGCATATCATAACATTACAACGCAATGACGAAGAAAAAGAATCACGATTAGATGTTCTTCCTTGACTGGAGAAGGGAAAAGTACATATCAGGTGCAGTCGAAAATAGATCCTCGATCTCCGGAATTTTTAGGTTATTATCCTGGGGAAAACAAATGTCAAATCCCATGTTCAGAATTATCGAAACCTGAAACACATAGCTGAAAATGTATAGACAAGGATGACTTACACCATCGCCGTCAAACAAGTCATAGATTCCCCTCAGGAATTCAATAGCTACATTTGTCAGCTCAACACTCTGACAAAAATCAAACAAAGAATTAATATAACCCATTTACTGCAGAATTTCAAGGAAGGAAAGTAATACGACTACTAAACATATGGGAAAAATTAGAGTTTCATGTCTTGTTTTTTCTGTATAGCTCAGTGCTTTCCAGCAGTTTCAGGTTCAAAATGTTCTTGTTTCTGAAAAATCTAGAATAAAATTCAGTATAGAACACATCTCTGGAGTTCAAAACTCGAAACCGTTCAGCAACAATACAATGCAGCAGCGGTCAAAATTAAATTCTATGTATGCAAGATACCTGATCAGGAGCGCGCTTGAATGCTGAAAAAGGAATCGATTCATCACCAAGCCTTATGTCATTATTATACCCAAATTTCCTCAGCACAGTCCAGGTTGTCTCAAGCCGGCCTTTCTCGATAAAAAGTGCATGTAGAAACAAGAAACCAGTCAATGTCAGCCCTCTGTCGTTAACTCCTTCCGGAAATTTTTCTTGCACAACCCTCTTAACGCCTTCAATTTCAGAAGGCTGCAATGGGGCATTGAAGCATTTGACCTGTTTTGAACAACTGTTAGGCACTTGACATGAAAAGAAGCTTCTATAAAGAGAGAAATAAGCCAGAGCCAGTTTACAAAAATAAAAACAAGGCACAGCAAAAGCACAAGAAATGCGAGAAATGAAAATAAGAGGAACCTGAAAATCATTCAATTCAGCATCACTGAGAGCACCATCTCTGTCATGGTCGCAGAGAATAAATATACGTTTCAAGGCTCTTACACACCGGGGTTTTAACGATTGGGTTTCTTGATCAAATAGAGGTCCTGTGGGGTGAAGGACTGCTTTCTGTGCATAGTATGAAACTTCATAGGCCTACAAGAATTTTATTCCATCATTAGGATGATACTCCAGAACTGTACTACAATATATAATTCTCTTCAAATATTAGTGCCAGCCAACCAACCGGCTAATTTTCATCCATTTCAGTCGAAAGTCCACTCCAATTAACAAAAGAGAATTGATTTCTGGCAGAAATTTCCTTGAAATGCCTAAAGAAATAAATATCTTGACAAAAAATGAAATGCAAAATTATTAAATTTTCCATGTTTAGCTAAGACAACCACTATCAAATTATCAATATGAGGGATAACCAGAATAAAGGCAACCTGGATCAGCTTTTGTGCAGAGCACTCGATACAAGTCTCAATCTCCCGGAATTGTTGCATAATTGGAGACATAACTTGCTCGAGGTTGACCTGATATTTGTCATCTCTCAAGTCAAGCTTACACCCTGCCACTATAACAGGAACATTCACCTATTCACCAACATGACAAAAAACCAATGTTAATAAGAAATCAAGAAAAGTTCATTTGTGAACCTTATAATTGTCGAACCTCTGACAAAAACCACTGACAGTGATATAATCAAAGAGGTAAGAGCAAAAATCACACACCCTCTTCTTGCAACAAATTGTACATAAACAAAAATCAAAACAATCAGCAAAACAAAGAAAAATTAACCTCTAATTGCCGTAGCTCAGGAAGCCAGTATTCACTCAACCGATCGAGAGTCTCAGGGCGATTGCATGCATATGTCAAAACAACTGCATCTGCTTGCTTCAGTTCTTTAGCAAGCTTTCCCCTATCTTCAGGTCTGACATCAATCACGTAAAACATCACATCATACATTTCAAAAGCTGTGAAACAATTTAGGGTTCGAGCCCTCTCTATATGGGACCCAATAAACACTTAAACAGCAAGATGGACAATCTATATTGGATACTCCATGTTCCAGTTCTACACTGTTGCAGATAGTCTCAGCAAAACAACGTTGGATAGTAAAGATTTTTTTTTTACTTTTCTATTCCTGGTAAACTTTCTAGGTTCTCTAGGGTTACCAAAACCTAAATGAAAGTTGACTATATATATGGCAAAACAAGTTAACATCCGTATATCATAGCCACACCATTGCTACAACAAAAACAGTGTCCTTCGCAGAACCCTCTCCATAGAAAGGGTAAAGATACAGGAAAAAGGTTTTCCCTGCCTTCATCATGACAGAGTTGAAATCAGGATATATACCTCGAGGAAGTGTCAACAATGGTGATGGGAATGCGATCGGGGAAAAAATCAGACGGCAACTTGGTATCGGGCAGAACAGGAGGGACATTGGGAGGGAAAGTATCAGTGGCAGCAGCGACAATCAAGCTAGATTTTCCGGTACCCTTTTCACCAGCCACGACAATCCGTACAGAAGCGGGTGAGCCACCCCCTCCAGCTGAGGGTTTCGCCATCGGAATCTGCAAGAGCGCCAATCATTTTCAGGGACAAATGAGCATCATACCCAGAATTCCATTTCCAATATATTCTTAGTTCAATGAATTTGATACTCCTGGTACGAGCAGGAAGACTCGCATGAAAATAGAAATGAAATAACTAATCCAAAAAATTCCTCGATTTTAGAGCTTAAATTCAAGATTGAAATACAGCGAGCTGAAAACACATACATAACAACAAGATTGATCAACATGGGATGAAAAACTGCAACTTGACTAGCGGATTAAAGAACCCAGAAATACAATCACTAGAAAATCAAATCATAAAAAATCTAAGCGAACAACTGCAGAAACAGTTAAACAGCGAGAAGGAAATAAACCTTGATTCAAGCAAATATCAAAGATAAATATAGAAACGGGGAAAAAGCCTTAACCTAAACAGCCCAAGAGCTTGAAACAGAAGCGACTATGGAGATGAAAACCCTCCAAAAACCCTAGGATTGGGGGGAGGGTGTTATGGTGGTGCTTGTGGCAATCGCTGTGAACGTAGAGAAAACCAGAAAAGGAAGCAGCTCCTCTTTTTTTTTTTTTTTTTTTTTTTTTTGTATCCGCGTGTATTTCACTCATGTATTCTTACGGTGGCATTTCCGTAAATAGAGACTCCGTGTTACCTTCTTAACGCATACCTTTAACGGTGAGATTCGCGTCTGCGTGGACCATCGGACGGCTGAGGTTTACTTGAATTTACGTACCGTTTGGGTGGTTCCGGTTTTTTTTTTTTTTTTTTTACCTTTTCTGATTAGCAACGTAATAGGAAAATAAAAAAAAGTTTCTAATTACCTAAATTGATAATCATTTTATAATTCGCTAATGTCCCGATCTATATCTCTTGAGTTTGAATAAAATTTAAAAATACCAAGAACAATAGTAAGCACCTAAAAGGCAAAGTATTTATTTTTTATTTTTAAAATTTTAGAAAATTATATATATATATATTAAATTTCGGTTTGATTTATTCATTTACTTTATGTTTTGTAAGGTATGTTGTGATATTAATTTATGTTTATAATTAGAACATCCAATCCCACTTTGGAATAATTTTTGTGGCCAGTCGTAGAAATAGTATATATGTATTTTATACGTATTAATTTAGCAGGAAATGTATTAGGCGATTTCGATATAAATTGCATCCGCCTCACATAATATTTTTTACTATTATTTAATATTAAAAGTCTTAATCATATTCAAGTGCCAATTAAATAAATAAAATGTCTGATACACATTTAAAGCGTGGCATTGTATCTTAAATCAGAAAAAAAAATAACAATTCATAAATCTAAAATTATTATATCAAAGCTAAACCGAATAATATCTAAATGTATCCAAATAGAATATAATGCAAACCGAACAAATTGTTTAATCAAATTTAACAAAATTTCACAATCTTTTGAAACATTGGCTATGAAATTGGGCGTACTAAATTCTAATAAGCTATAAAATTAGGCCTACAAAACACAACGGGCCGAACATTGATTCACATGCACGACGTCGTTTTGGAGTAATATGCCACGTGGAAACTGACTCGTAAAGGGGAAAAAAATCAAACTCTCCCAACGGAAACACTAGACGCCGTTAAGGGCATATGCCGTTGCCATGCCATATATAACCAGAGTTCATTAAGTCAGAGTTTGGTTGCTGGTCTTCTTCATTTACCCCTTGAGAAATTTAAAACACCGCAAGTACATTATTGTTGTGATTATATATATATTATAAGCATCCAAATTTTTATTTACGATTTTATATAAATTACGAATTATTTGTTAATGTCTTAGGACGACTGGTATTATTTGGATTTTTTAAATACATAATCCAATCTATCTAAAATAGATTGCAGTTCGATTTTTTAATATATAATTCAAAAAAAAATTTAATCCAAATACAGTCGAATATATTTTATACAAACGCAAAATTTTGAGTTTTTTAGTTTTAATTTTTTTTAGCCTATATATATATACATATATATTAACAATTATTTATTGGCTTTCATAAAAAACAATTATTTATTGGCAGTTGGCAGCATACATTAAAAGGTACTTTATGACATTGTTTGACCTTTTTTAGTATTAATTTTTAACTAATATATATGCATATATATTTATTAAAAAAATATTCGTTGGCAACTTACATTAAAAAGGCATTTTATGACATTTTCCTATTTTTATTAATTTACATTATGCCATTTTTCTCTAAATGCACATAAGCCACACCCAAATCTAACGGCGAATGCTAACACCGTCACGGATGTTTTAAATCCCAAGAAGAAACAGTATTTGATCCCATACCGTCTCAGTTGCCTCTCCCTCCCTCCCTCCCTCTCTCTCTCTGCGTCGATCGGAGAGATGGGTGTTGATCTGGAATCGTTGTCGGAGGCGACATCCGGAGCCATTGGATCGCTTCTGAGCACGACAATCTTATACCCTCTGGATACGTGTAAATCCAAGTACCAAGCCGAAGCTCAAGCTCGTGGTCAGCAGAAGTACAGGTGTTCCCCCCCCCCTTTCTCCGCTTGATTCGCTTTTTTTCCCAGTTTTGTTTTCGTGTTTTGTGTTATTTTGATCTGGGTGTGTTCCGTTTTCTCTCACCTTGACTGTGACGTTGTGATCATCGCCGTTTTGGGATTTGAATTATGCGTTTTTGTTATGTGATGACGATTATCTTTGATACGACGAAAGATTCCTGGATTTTGGCCTTCCGGATGAGCTGGGTTTCTGCTGATTATTTTTTTAATTTATGTTTTCATTGTGATTTTAGCAATAATTTTGAGGCTTTTTGAACAGTAGAGATTTTCCACTAAGGCGGCTGCACTTAGAAATATACAGTAAGCTGAGAATTTTCGATCTTGTGATGGAGATTTCAAATGGTGTTTCATTTGATTGTTTGATCAACAACAATACAAAAGGCGCCGTATACTTTCTGTTATCTTCGCTAATGAAATTTAGTACCGTTGGGTATCTGAAGTCTCTGCATTAGCCTAATTTGGAGATTACTATAATGTTTCATTTCTTTGTGATGTAACAATGCCGTGTCTTCGTCCATGTTGTTCCCATGCATGCGTATGCTCTTCAATCAGATTCAGTTACTGCCAGTTGAATGAGTTTTTGGAATCCATGTCTAAACTTGTATACTCATATATATTCACTGTAATGGGAGCTTATTGGATAAGTAAAGCCAAGTCTTTTTGGTTTGTCTTAAGCCTGAAGAAACTTTGAACTTGGTTTCTTGCCCTAAGGCGAGACCTGTTACTTATCTCCTCGTTTTCTTATATGTTCTGTTGTTACAATGTCAGATACCTCTCGGATGTCTTGTGGGAAGCAGTTGCTAAAGGACAGGTTATGTCGCTGTACCAAGGCCTGGGGACTAAGAATCTGCAGTCCTTCATTTCGCAGTTTGTGTATTTCTATGGATATAGCTATTTCAAAAGGTTATATACTGAAAGGACTGGTTCGAAATCGATAGGGACTAAGGCAAATCTGCTTATTGCTGCTGCTGCCGGGGCTTGTACCTCTATCATCACCCAGGTCCGTTCACGGGCTGGTACCCATTTGCCCATTAACTCTCTGTTCTATTTGAAAAGTTTGGTATCACGTTTTTTCTACATGGTTTTTAGGTTTCAGTTTCGTGCTGGAATGGCAAATGCGGGACTAATTTCCGCTTTTTACGTTCTATCTTATCAATGTGTAAGTAATGACCTCGAGTCACGTTGTTCAGCCTCTAGACACGGCCTCATCGAGGATGCAGACGAGTGAGTTTGGAAGATCTGAAGGGCTTTGGAAGACCCTGACGGAGGGCACTTGGGGAGATGCATTTGATGGCCTAGGGATTTCTCTCTTATTGACCTCGAATCCTGCGATTCAGGTACTATTTTCGTAATAAACCATGAACTGGACTTGTGTCACTCGACTGAAAATTTGCATCGTTTTCTTTACCCGTTATCTGAAATAACTTGACTGGATGAAACGGGATATTACAAATATACCTTTAAAACGTAACATGGACTTCAAGACATACCCTTGAACAGTTAGGGTTTCAAAAAAAAATTGAAAAACGTTAAAAAGACAATCCTACCCTTTTAAAAACTACACGTGTAATAATCTGAATGAAGATGATAAAAGAGAGAGAGAAAGTGGGTAGTTGTCAAATAAAAAATTATTAAGTTAAAAAAAACTGTTCAGTTTCTTCTTCCTCTCTTCTTCACGCTCTTCTTCACGATTTTTCTCTAACGGACATTCTCCAGCCAATTTTATTGGCGATTTCTTGTGCGATTTTTTCTCTTCACTTCAAAATGGCTTCGTCTTCATCGTTTTCGGCTTCTATTTGCGAAGATTTTCAAGTAAAGTTTTCATTATATCTCACCGAAAAAGTTAGTTTTTTTTTTAATTTGATAGGAACCTGCAAAAATAAAATTAACACTCATTATCAGTTTTGTTTGACCGGTGTGACCAGTTTGACCAGTTTTATAATATTAGTCAAACTCGTCAAACTGGTCACACCTTTCAAATGCAATCAGTGTGACTAGTATGACCATTTTGTATGCGGCCAGTGTGACCAGTATGACAACATTACTTCATCATTAGTTTTACTAGTATGACGGTGTGACTACTTCACTAGTATGACCGGTGACAGGTATACCCAGTTTGATAAAACTAGTCAAACTCGTCACACCCTTGAAGTGCGACTAGTGTGACGAGTATGACCACTATGGTAGAAACCAGTGTGACCAGTGTGACGGTGTGACGACTTCACTGGTATGACCATTGATGGGTGTACCTAATTTAATATGACTAGTCAAACGTGTCACACCCTTCAAGTACGACCAGTTATAGTATTCGAGTTTTACAGTTAAGGAAAATTAGGTTTTCGGTTTGAAATCAAGTCATATGAGAGTTTTGTCTCTATCAGTATCTTAATGGTCATACTCGTCACACTGGTCGTACTTGAAGGGTGTGACACGTTTGACTAGTCATATTAAATTAGGTACACCCATCAATGGTCATACCAGTGAAGTCGTCACACCGTCACACTGGTCACACTGGTTTCTACCATAGTGGTCATACTCGTCACACTAGTCGCACTTCAAGGGTGTGACGAGTTTGACTAGTTTTATCAAACTGGGTATACCTGTCACCGGTCATACTAGTGAAGTAGTCACACCGTCATACTAGTAAAACTAATGATGAAGTAATTTGTCATACTGGTCACACTGGCCGCATACAAAATGGTCATACTAGTCACACTGATTGCATTTGAAATGTGTGACCAGTTTGACGAGTTTGACTAATATTATAAAACTGGTCAAACTGGTCACACCGGTCAAACAAAACTGATAATGAGTGTTAATTTTATTTTTGCATGTTCTTTTTGTATATGATTTGAAAGACATTCATCAGGCTCCCAAGATTACAATGAAGTGTTAACCATATGAAACCATTCGGTTAACTGAAAAAATCGAAAGAAGAATAATTGAAAAAATTGAAAGGGTTCTGAAGAAGACATGAATCACCGTTGAAGCAAAAGATTGGTCTGAGATAAAGCGCAACAAAGAGGATAAAACAATTAACTTTTTCGGTGATATATAATAAAAACTTTACTTGAAAATCTTCGCAAAGAAAAGCCGAAAACGATGAAGACGAAGCCATTTTGAAGTGAAGAGAAAAAATCGCACAAGAAATCGCCAATAAAATTGGCTGGAGAATGTCCGTCAGAGAAAA